CCTGCAGACCCGGCCTCAGCGCCTGCAGACAGCCCCGGCCTTCGGGCTCTCGGTGTCCTTGCAGGCCTCAGGTTTGTCCCCCTGCCACACAGTGACGGTAGTGCCCGGCGGGGGGAGCACAGCACGTCCCAGAGCCCCCTGGCGGCGCCGGCCCCTCCGTCTCGTCCCCGTCCCCGTCCCACCTGGTACAGCTGGCACACCAGCCTCAGCAGTGAGCTCTGGGCCTCCGCCTGCAGCTCATCCGTGTGCTTCTGCGGGGAGACGTGGGGCCGCTCGTCACAGGGAGGATCCCCACGGCCCCCCCTCCGAGCCCTGAGCCCCCCCTACCCCGTTGATGACGACCCAGGGGACGTATTGGTGCGGCGGGTCGAGAGCGTCCGTCAGCTGGGCGTTGCGGTGCATCAGGGCGGCCCCCAGCTCCCCCTGCACGCAGGCGGTGATGCGGCCTGCATCCAGCTGCGGGGCGTAAACCTGCAGGCACTGGGATCACAGCATCATAGAGTGCCCTTAGGCTGGGAGAGACCTTAAAGATCACGGAAGGCAGCCCTGGGGCGGGGAGGGGGAGACAGTGTCATACAGCCTTCAGGTTCTTGGTAGCTGAGGAGCCCGACTCCATGCAGAAGATGACAGGAAAATAGGTGGTGAAGTTCTCAGCCTCGTGCATCAGGCAGGCCTGCGGGGATGCGGGGATGTGGTGAGCATCCCTCAAACCGTCCCATGAGGACGGGCACAGGGACAGCCTGGCTCACTTGCAGCATGTTGCCCAAACACTCCTCCGGGCCGTGCTGACACTGGAACTGCCACTTCCCGGAGACGTTCTTCTCCTGCAGGATGAAGCGGTGTGAGCGCGGCTGGCGGTGCGCACTCAGCAGAGGGCTGCAGCTGCTCCTACCTGAGCGTTGCCATACGGCACCAGAGTGATGTTCAGGACATCGGTGGGCAGCAGCAGCCAGGTGGTGAAGAGCTGCTGCACCAGGAAGCCCCGGCACGCCGGGCACAGGCTCTCATAGAACAGACTCAGCTGCACAGGAGCAGCTGTTGGGCGCGAGAGGTTGGCACAGCGGCTCTCTGCCTGCGAGTGAAAGGGTTTGGGGTTTGGGGGCTGTGCCCCGGTACGGCTGCAGCCACCTGCGGTTGCACAGCGTGGGGGAAAGTTGCTGGGATGGGGCAGGACGGAGCCTTGCGTGCGCAGGGGGGGAAGTGAGAACCGCAGAGGTTTGATGCAGCTGCAGGATTGTGCGTGTGGTGCTGGGGCTTTCCTCAGGAACTTCCGCCATGTATTCTGGGGAAAACCACAGCCAGTGGGGTCTGGACCGGCCTCAGCAGGGGCACAGCACCCACCACCATGTGGGCTGCAGCCCATCCAGTGCTGCCGGACCCGCCGTTAGCGGTGCCAGCATCCAGAGCGATTCATGGCAGAACGGGCTGCAAAGCTGTTTGGTGCTGAAAAAGAAGTGACAACGGAGCCCGGGGATGGGACAGGGTCTGACTGCAGCACAGCTCTTCCCCGTGCGTGGCAGGGAGTGCCGCTGGATGCGGGACCCCAAGCATCCCTGCTCAGAGCCAGCGCACGAACCGGGTACCAGCACCAGGTGTGAGCACCGTGTGCAGCTGCAGCCCCGCACGCCCCAGCCTCGCACAGCAGCAGCTGCGTCCCCAGATGGCACCAACACCGGCCCCGCGGCTCTGACCTGGCAAGCGACGGCGATCTCCCGTGAGCTGCACCAGAGGTGGGTCGGGTAATGACAGCCGGGCAGGGCCAGCCCCAGCCCCAGCCCCACGGCCAGCAGGGCCAGCGGCACAGCAGGGGCCATGGGGACGGCAGGGTGGCTGAGAGCCAGCGCAGAGGCGAGCCTGTCCCGGCTGGGGCTTTTAAAGCCCGCCCGCACCCGCCTCCGCACTCCCTTCCTGCATGGCGCAACCGGCCTCCTCATGTGACACCGACGCCGCCGACTCACGTGGGGCTGCGGATGCCGCCAAGCCATCCTTGATGCCCCACAGCACGCGCCATGGGGCGGCGGAGGCTCCGGGGCACGGCTCTGCCGTTTGGGTTTTGGGGCAAAGCCACCCCCCAGCCCCACGGCTGTCGCTGCTTCCTCCCGCACGGACCGGCTGCTAAAGGTGACGGGCGGAAACGCGGCCCTGAGCAGCACCGAAACCTGCCGGCAGCCGGGAGCAGCCCAGCCCCGCTCTGAGCGCCCGGCCCCCAGCCGTTCGGGCATCGGGGTGGAAGTTGGTGCTTCCCCGCGGGTTGCAGCCAGGCGGTTCCGGCTGCTTCTCAACCCTTTGGGCTCAGCTCCATTTCAGTCCCTTCCCATCTCAGTTCCCCTGGGGACTCGCTGCCACCCCAAAGAAAGCCCTGTGATCTCATTAACTCTGTTTTATTTGTGGGGTTTTTTTTTCCGTTTTCTTTTTTTTTTTTTTTTTTTGAAGTACCGTACAAAAATTCTCTTACAGTAACAAATACTGGGTTTACATTAGTAAACATCAACAGAAAGAGCATAGAGAACTACTGCTGGTAACAAACAGCTGAAGTGGCGAGTTAGAGTACGGATTATTGCCTATAGCTAAGGACTAACATCTCGGTAGCGCTGACAGCCGCCACGTCCTCTCCGAGCACAAAGCAGTCGGGGCGCCTCTGCCACCCCCACCGCCCCCCTGCGACGCGAGCGCCATCGGGGGGCGACACCGGGGGGCTCAGAGCTGGGAACAGAGCAACGCGAGCCGACCCGAAGCGAGCAGAGCCGGGCAGAGCCCTGGGCTCAACCCCCGCAGGGCTGCGCTGCGCCCGGGAGCGGAACGGCCGCGTTGTGCCCGTGGGACGGGGGGATGGGGGGACATGCGGGTCAGAAGCAGCAAAGCACAGCCCAGGGCCTCCAAACACGGCACTACCCAGACAGCACGAGCAAAAGCATCATAGACAAATCACAACTAGCTTATTCCGGGGGAGCTGCGCTGCGGGAAGCTCAGGGTTTGGTTTTCCACCTGAAGGGGAAAGAAGGGAAAAGGAGCGTTTCTGAGAGCACGGCTGGAGGAACGGCAGCCCTGGGAAAGGCCCGGACCTCCTCACCACACAGCGCTGCAAGCAGAGCCCCAAGGGGCCGCGTCCCCAGCCACGGTGCTGCGTGCCAGGGCTGGACGACGCAGCGGGGCCAACGCGACTGCTGAGCTCACAGAGGCTGCGGCTGCACAGCAGGGAGGGACGGCGTGAGGAGAAGCAGAAAAACGGCTGGGAGGGTAAAAAACGCCGTCACGGGAAGCTGGAATTCCCTGGGCAGCAAAGCCCGGGCCAAGCAAAGCGCTGGGAGCGGCTGAAGAAGAGCAGGCGGCGCTGGGGGGACAAGGAGGGGCTGGAGGAGCCGCCCCTGCTGCCACCCCACAGCACAGGCGCCCGGCACAAAGCTCTGCGGTGTCACAGCCCCATGAGGGTGTCATGGGGTGAAGGGTTTAGCAGAAAATGAACCTCCTGCTGTTCCAGCTTGGTTTGCTATCAGAGGGGCCGGGGGGCAGCTGGGCTTTGATTCTGAGCGATGCCCAACTCCAACTCTCACAGCGATGCAGCCACAGCCTTCCGGCAGAACTGAGCCCCCAGAGGGAGGCTGGCTGTGCTCAGGGAGGCCATCACCACACTGATCTGCACTCTGTGCTGTTTGCTGAGGCTGCAGACTGCGGATCCGTTTGGATGGCCGCTGATAAACACGCTGCAGAGCAGAAGCAAGAATACGAGTAACTGAGCTGAACTGAGCTGGCTGCAGACAGTTCACTCCTGGAAGAAGGTTTCCCATGGAAGCCCTCGGTATAACAGTGTGTGCATCCCTCCCTATGGGGGGAGAGACTCAGCCACCGCCTGGGCCCAGAAGACAGCAGTGTCGTCCTCCTGCTTCGGGTTGGGCCTGCGATGGTAATTCTCCCTAAAATTCCTCCTCTCTTAGGACATTTTTATATTGTTTTTTTTCCTTGTCGATGGAGCGCGAGTGACTCAATAAATCACCTCCAATAATTATTACACAGGAGGGCTCTGAGCACCGGAGCTGCCAGCCCTACTGCTCAGCTGAGCTCTCGTGTCCCAGCCCAAACCGTTCCCTTAATTGTTAATCATTAATTATCACTGATCGCCGTGTGACCCCCCCGAGCGATAGCACCAAACAGTGACGGAGCAGGGGAGCCCCAGCACACAGCCCGGGGCCCACGCAGGGCACACAGAGCAAGGAATGGGGTCTGTACAGCTGGGGTAGGAGAGCTGCCACAAGCAACAGGAACGTAACATTTCTACCAGCAATCCCAGATCCAAGAAGGATCCAGGAGCGGCCTGGATCAATGCGAGCAGCAGAGCTGATCATAGGAATGCTGCATGCCCCACTGCAGGCAGTGCACAGACAGGAGGACGGGATGCAGGCAGAGCACACACAAATGCACTGCAGCACTGAGGACGCGCAGCCCATTGTGACACCAAGCAGAAGCAGCAAAGCCTCCAGCATCCACCAGCCTGTCCTGAGGACGCGGCCTCTGCAAGGGAAGGAGCCTCCCAGGCAGATCAAGAGGACGATCGATGCTTTCTTCAAGCAGGGCAGACAGGGTGATACAGTAAAGCAAAAGCCACCAACTCAGAGCCCTGTTAAAGACCCTGCAGGTTCCACCCCGCACCTCCTCTGCTGCCCTGGAGCCCTCTGAACTCAGCCTTTCCCAAAGAGATGCCCCAAGCACTGCCTGTGCCAGCCAGCCGCAACGGGCAGCCCTACAACCATCCCCACACAGTGCTCACAAACAGAAGTGCTTTGCATACACAGCTGGCTGTGGTGCACAAACATCCCTACGCACCAAGGCCCCAGGCCCAGCTGAAACGCCGCCCTCCTGCAGCAGAGGTCCTTCATTTTGTGCAGGGCTCGCAGTGTGCGTCAGCCTCCCAGCCCTCCCTGCCCCGAGCTGCAGCAGCCGCCCAGCCGCTGCCACGCGCTTGCATGTCGTAGTGGGAGCTCAGCAGGATGAGGTAAAGCAGCCAGTGACAAAAAGAACCGTATTTACAGAGCTACAGTCAGCTTCAACGGGTTACACTCGCAGAGATTCACCAAAGACAACCAGAAACAAAGAGCTGTGCATCCCACGGATTCTGCCGGGAAAAACACGGGTACCAACACGGACTTCACAGCTTAGTTGGCACAACTAAGGTGAGAGATTCGTCACAAACCACATCCTCCCTCCCCAGACAGCAACACTACAGAGGTGGCTATGACACCAGGGAACAAGACAGCGAGATGGGGCACAGGATGGCGTGGGGACCTCGCCAAGAAGCCCTCCTCCCATCAGACCCGCTGCCCCATGGAGGACACCGCCTTCTTTTTGAAATGAGTCTCTGCACAGAAGAGCAGCACCCCTCGTACCACACAGCAGCTCCCACCCCCACCTGCAAAGTCACCGAGGGAAGGGGGAAGTGAGAGTGGAGGACGCATGCTCAGCGGAGGCTCCTCCTCCTCCTCCAGGATCCAGCAGATCCCCTCGCTCAGAACGTGCCAGTGCTGCTCAGCTGGGCAGGGAATGACACCACAGTGCAGAGGAATTGGGATCTAGCTCTACGGTGATGCATAGCGGGGCAACCTGCCAGCAAAAAGGTGATCTGACCTGTTTGTTGGGGAAGGGGAGGGGGCTGCGTTCATCCACAGCAATTCAATCACAACTAGATCCCACCTCGTAAGGGCTGGAGGCCGCTGCGAGTCGACATTCCAGCCTTTTTGTCCCATCAGCCAACACGGGTTTCAGCTACTGACCAAAAGGGACACCGGGAACGGTCACAGACATCTCAGATGCTCTGGAGGGGCAGGAGCACAGAGACTCAACTATACAGGGTGCAAGAGTCCAGAGCCAGAAAGCAGCGCTCTGGGGAGAAGCTGAAGGCAGCTGTTGTGTTGTGCACGGTGTGTTCATCTGGCTGGTGGCTGGGAAAGGACCGGGTGAGCCAGCGTGACATTCAGGGAGTCATTGTGCTGCACCAGGGACGTGTGCTTGTAGTGCAAGACCAGGTCCTTGAGGGAGGCGTACAGGTTGTAGGGCTCTGCAAACCCATAGCCAGTCGCTGTCTTGTAGATCACGCAGTGCTTGGTGTCACCATCCACCCTGCCAGGGAGAGAAGGAACGCGGGTCAGCGGCATGCGAAGGAGCCCTGCTAGGACAGCGAGAGCAGAGCGCAAGCTGGCACCACCGGAGCTGCCCAAGGACACATCTGGTCCTGGCATGAGGAGCCAAGGCAGGCAGGAGACTCTGGAGAAGCCCAGCCTGCCAGCCGATGCCTCCACCAGCGCCAGCATCTGGCAAGAGAAGGGCAGAGCAGCACAGGAGCACAGCCAACACCTCCCCATCCCGTTCTCCCCACGCAGCACTGTGGGGTACTCACACCACGGAGCAGGCGTAGCACCCCTTCTGGCTGCTCTCACGGATCAGGAAGGTGCCGTCCCGTTTGCCACACAGCATCTCCTCTGCCTGCAAGCGGTTGATCTTCCCCACGTACCACGTCCGCTCCTCGTGGTGGGGCAGCTCCTCCTCGTCATCCATCATGGAGTACTGACTGCAATTGAGCACAGTCGCGGTCAGGACCCGTCAGTTTGGATGTGTGGCCCCCACGTCCTCCCTCCCCCAGCCAGCTGCCATCACTCCTGGCACGGAAGGCGGCCTCAGCTCCCAGACAGGGAGATGGGACTTGCCCAAGGCCTCCAAACAGGCAGAACTGGCTGCACCAGCCGCGCTCCTACAGCCCCCAACACACGAGCAGGGACACTCACTCCTCCGTCTCGTTCTTGATACCCAGCCACTCGTTGATTTTCTTCTGCCGGGCGCCCTTCTGCGTCAGCCACCTAGGGAAGAAGCAGCAGAGCTCAGCAGGCAGCGTGCCCAGGCCAGACAGCCCTCACCCAGCAGCCATCGCCAGAGGGCAGCAGCCTCCCCCTTTGAGGAGCTGCCATGCCCCGAGGCTGCAGGGCTCCTCGCTCCTGCACACAGCAGCCCTAAGAGCCGGTCTGACAAACCCCAAAGCCCTCAAGGAGCCAGCTGGACGGGCTGCAGGGGAGCGGGGCCTCCCTCCCAGCCCCCTGCGGGTCAGGCACTACATACACCAAGTACTGGTCCCGCAGTTTGCGCAGCTGCATGAGGTCTGGCTTGAGGCTGTTCATGCGCTTGTCGATCTCCCGGTTTTCCGAGGCCTGTTTCTTCAGGTCCTGCTCCAGCTTCATCTTGCTGTCGTGGATCTCTGTGATGCGAGACTTGAGCTTCTCTGAGTTCATGAGGATCCTGGGAGAAGGGAAGGGTGGGCTGTGAGCCAACGTGGGGGAGGCGAGGGAGGCAGCCTGCCAGCTCCAGCCTGCAGCATGCTGGAGAAAAGGGCTGTGCGTGCCTCGGCTCTGCCCTGAGCCCGGATGTTCCCTCCGGCCCCAAGAGCCCTTCCCCAAGCAGGACAGGTCGCTGCTGCCCTCAGTCCTTACCGCTGCACCTCCTTCTCGTTGCCCTCTCGTCGGAAGCGCTCGATGTACTCCTTGCTGCACTTCTCCTGTGTCTGACACTGCTCCTCAAAGATCTTGATCGTTTCGTTAAAGGCTTCAATCGCTGTCCTCTTCATCTGCAGCTCCTGAGTTGAGGAGAAGGGAGAGCTGAGTGAGGGGGAGGATGTGGGCAGGTTTCTGCCCATCTGGAGCATCCTCCTCCTCCCTTCCCAAACCAGCACCGTCCCTGGCAATACATTCCCACTTTGAAGTTCTCTGGGGAGTCTCCCCAAACCCAGAGTGGACAAACAGGGCAGTGGGGGCCCAGCTTCTGCTCTCCTTTGTGCAGTGTGTGGCTGCCAGTGATCGGTGACGTTGGGGCAGCCCACGGGGCCACGTACCTGGGAAGTGCGGGTGTACTCCTCATACAGCAGATCATACTCCCAGCTCTTGTCCTGGTACTGCTGGTGATAGACCTTCAGCTGTTCCCCTACAGCTTCCACACTGTCCTCCTTTACCACTTGGTCCTGCCATACACAGAGCCTCAAGTCAGGACCCGCTCCCACCCTACAGCAGCCCCTCTGTAAGGCAGTCGGCCCCGTGAAACCCCCCCCCCCTGCAGGGTGCCCATTACCCCACAAAGCAATGTCCAGCACAGCAAAGAGATGCTGCAGGACACGGTCTGGATCACGGAGCCCATCTACTGAAGGGCCAGGGACGGATGAGCAAACAGATGCTCTGGCTCTGGCTGTGCTGGCCAGCCATTACTCCTGCAGCTCAGGCCTCACCTGCTGGTACTTGGAGATGGGGTAGAGCAGCCTGGTGTCCAGCTTGGCGTTGTACTGGGCAAGCGACTCATGTCTGTAATGTGTGATGAGCTCCACCACTGAGCCAAAAGTCAGGGGTTCTGAGAAGCCATACTTCCCTTCCCGGTGAAAGATCTTGATCAGCTTGTTATTGCCTCCTTTCCTGCAGCAGGGAGGGGAGCAGAAGGTGCCTATCACCACTCCAGTGCTCTGCTGCAGCACGGATGTGCCCCTTGTGCCTGCCTGGTGTTCCACCAGCCATAGGGACACTTGCTGACAGCTCCACCCCGGGCAGCAGAGGCTCTCCGAGGGCTCCAGCACCCTACCTGAGTGTGAGTGTGTACTCCCCCTGGATCTTGCTGGAGGCATCGCGCACCAGGAAGGTACCGTCTGGTGTGTCCCGAAGCTTCTCATTCACTTCCTCCCTGAGAGGGACAGAGAATTGTCACAGCCTGTGAGGCGCAACCAGAGCCCCCCTAGATAACCCGATAGCCTGGGCATCCACAGCAGGAGCTGCCAGCCACCCCCTTACCGGGAAATGTCCCCCCAGTACCACTCGGCGTCCTGCAAGGGCACACTGTTCCCGTTGGCCAGGCTGGCTGCACTGGGCTTTGGCTTGGGTGGTTTTGGAGGCAATGCTGTAAGAGAAGTAGAGTTGAAACAAGGTTAAAGCGGGACTGGCCCAAGTCCCAGCTCCACACCCTCGCCAGAGGCAATCCCTTGGAGCTCAGAGTCCCCCTCCCTGAGGTAACTGTCCTGGGAAGCCCTGCTGGGCCACCACACCGCCAGGAGCAAGAGATTAGAGCCTGGAGCAGGCATCCAAGCACAGCTGGGCTACAGAAATGCCCTCAGCAATCTGCTCAGGGAGGCAGGGATTCCACACCCACACAGCACAAATGCTAATGCCTCGGGTCCCAGAGAGGGGGCATGTCAGCTACTGGGATGGTACCTGGAGGCAACTGTTCTGGCTCCAACTCCTTCGTCTGCAGAAGCATCTCCAGAAAAAGCACAGAGAAGTCAGGACTCAGCTCCGGGCTGTAGGAAGAGAGGAACGAATCAGCAATCGAAGGCAGAGCCTGGCACTCCTCTGTGCCCCCTGTGCAATGGGGCAGCAGGGTCAGCTGTTCATCCTGGCACAGCCCAGCTGCTGCAGTGCAGAATAACAGAAGGGCTCTGCCCTGGCTTCGGGCCCCACCTCTGTATGCTGCCAGCAGTTTAATCCCACGTGCAGCAGGGCCGGGGTGCGGGCAGACGTACTGTTACAGCCTGGACTCCTTGTCCTGGCAGGCACAGCGGCCAGCACCGGGCACACGGCTGGGATCTGAGAGCTGCACGTACCTGGCGCCGGGCAGCCGCAGGAGAAGGGGGCCAAAGATCTCTCCCAGGGCCTGAGGGTGGAGGCTGTTGCTCTCGGCCTGCTGCGATACCTTCCCCAGATGCCGGAGCAGGAACTGTAGGGTGAGTGTGTTCTGGAGTGGGATTGCAGGCGACTCCAAGGCCAGCAGCAGCTGTTTCCGGCAATTCTCTGGCTGGGGGATCTCTGGGGAGAGAAGCAAGACACGATGGAACGGCTGGGCAGCCAGCACTGCTTTCCATGCTCTGGCTGTCACAGCGTGGGAGCACTGTCAGCAGCAGAGGCCATGTGACAAACCCCATAGGGACAAGACCTATTTTATTACCCCAAACGCATCCGTTCACCCACGCACCCATTCCCAAGTGTGGCCGGGGAAGCCCTTACCCTGCAGGATGCGAAGGATGTCTCCATGCACAGACACTGGCACCACAGGGGAGGGCAGGTCCTGCAGGTAGCCTCGCAGCGCTTCGCCCAGGGAGTGCACGTCAAAGGGCTCCAGGTCACCCAGGCTCCAATCTGCCAAGGCAGAGATTTGCCATGGGAGAGGGGTGCAGATCTGGCACCCACCCCACAGCGTTGTGTCCCACTGCAGCAGGAGTGCAGTGAGCAATGGGGGCACCTAGAAAGAGCTAGAAAATCTCTGGCTGCTGCCAGCAATCACGGGACATGGCAGGCGGGCACTCTGAGAGCTCTGGCAGCTCCTGGGCAGTCAAGCAGACCAGAAGACTGAAGCTGCCTGGAAGCACTCATCTCCCTGAAGTAAGCTGGCACAGGCTCCACTGGGAGGGGGTGTTAGTGGATTTGGGTGCCCACACCTTTTGCTGAGCCCTGCCAAGGGCACATATGACTTGCCTGAGTTTTACTCCCCGCTATTGTTAGAGACAAGCATGAAGAGGGGATCAGCCAATTGTTCACACACCAAACCCAACAGGGAAAATATCTCCCTTGAAGCGCGCTGCCCCAGAAACACCAGGCACAGGCTGCTGGGACAGCACAGAGAGCCTCTTCAGAAAGCAGCACGGCCAGAGCCAAGAGCACTGCGTAGCTCCGGCCCACGAAGAACATCTGCGAAAGGGGACAAGCTAGCAGGCTGCTGGAAGAGGCCCAGGCTCAGCCGAGAGGCAGACGGCTCCCGGGGCTTGCTGGCACAGACCATCAGCCGCAGGCACAGCGGAGCCACAGCTCCACCACCAAGCTGAGCTCTGTGATCCTCTCCTGCTTATTAGCGGTGTGACAGAGCCAGAGAAACCTCCGCAAGGCTGTCGTCAGAGCACCCTGAGAGCAGGGCAGCCCGAAGAGACGGCAGGAGAGAAGCGTGGGGCTTCATTTGGGGGCCCGCGGGTCTCTCAGCTGGTGCCGCATCCCTTGGCCCTGACCCCTGCCCACCAAGGGCAGCAGGAATCCTCCCCGTCCCGACCCCAGCATGTGACAGGGGGACACGTCAGGACGGGCAGCCCAGCCCTGCAGGCAGCGTGCGGCAGTCAGGAACCGCCAGGGACAGGCGAGCCCGGCCTGGATTGCATTACTGCTGCTGCTGTCACATCCACTAATCTCCTCCATCTGAGCCGATTCGCCTCCTCACCACGAAGAGCTGGTTCTTACCGGTTCTTAGAGCTTGCCTCAGTTCGGAGCCAGATGTCCTGTATAACATCTCGCTGTCTAACCCTGCAGGAGTGAGGACGCCGCTGTTAGCTGCAAGCTGTGCAAGTCCCAGCACACGCACCGTTCTGGAGCCAGCCTGGTAGGACGGTGGCTGCAGCACGACTCGAGGCAGGCAGCTCACGCAGCCCTCCTGCAGATGCTGCCACAGCCCCCCTCGATCCTTGGGACGCCCTCCAAGCCCCTGTTCAGCGCCCCCACAGCGGGGATTTGGGTGCACCCTGCAGAGCCTGCCAGCACCCTGCTGCACTCCGAGCACTGCAGCACGAGCTCTGTGCTGTTTGGAGCTGGACAACGCAGCAGGGTTAAGGCTGGGGACCGGCACCTGAAGCCAGAGAGGATTGGGAGGCTCCCCTCCCACAGGCAGCTGTGTATCACATATCTGTGTTCTGTCCAACACTAACAGCTTTTATAAACAGCTGCCTTTGTCCCACTCTCGCTGGGGCTCCGGAGGGTGTCAGCCCCTTGGTACTCAATGTCCCCCATTACCTTTCTTCTCAATGGCTTCCACCAGCTTCACCAGCAGTGGAGGTGCAACCTCTGGAGGGCTGAACTGCTCCTGAAGTTCAGGGAGAGGAGACCCTGGGGAGAAAGGGAAGAGGTCAGACCCCACTCAGCAGACAGTTCTCAGCAGAGCTGGGGCCAGAGCACAAACAATAACATCGCTCCTAACAGCAGCATCTGCAGGCAGACAGAGCCTGGTCCCCAAACCCTGCTGCCAGGCCACAGCCACACAAATGCCATGCAGAGACTGCAGGGAGCCCTGGTCCCTAAACCAGCCCGCAACCTGCGGAGCCCAGCCTCGCTCAGCATCCCAGAAAGCACAGTGGGGTTTGCACACACAGAGGGATCCGTACTGCTTTCTGATGACACTACAGAGCAGAGTTCACCTCCCTGAACGCCCAGCTCGTGTGGGCAGGCACTGCAGGGGTCACCTGGGCTCTGGAATTCAGGCTCAGTTCAGCCCCTGCCCAGGACGGACGCAGCACAGGCTGGTGGAGGAACGTGGCTGGGGAGCTCGCAGCGGTGAGCTGTGATTAATCCAGCGATTCAGGCAGAGTGCGGCGTCAGCAAATTCCTGCCCTTGATTGCTCGTTTTACATGGAAACCAGCCCTCTGCCTCCCCCTCCCCGCTAGCCCATAACCTCGGTGCAAGCTGCTGCAGGGCGCGGACAGCCTGTGGCACAGCACCAGGCACCCTGCAGGATTGCTGCAGGCAGCCCCTGTGCTCCACGCAGCCCGCACCAACCGGTCAGGGCAGCACAGCCGGCTGCTCCACACCACGTGTCCCAGGAGCCCTCACTGCCCTGCGTGCTCCCAGACCCTCCCCACGTCGACCACAGGCACGGCCGAGCATCAAACAGCACTTTGGTGCCATCTCTGGATCTGTAACAGGGTCACAGCAGCGTGGGAAGGGCTGCGATGCGCTGCGATACAGGGCAGCTGCCTCGAGGTGCCTTTTGGGAAGCTGAAGATGGAGCTGGGAGCTGCAGTGTGATCACGGGGCAGGGCAGCGGTGCTGCCAAAGCACAGCCTATGTGCTGCAGTGAGATGGCTTCAGGGCCGGCACAGCAGGGCCCCAGGCATGCTTCCCCATGCCGAGTGTGACGCATACCAGGGCAGGAGGGTGCACGCCCAGCTGCCAGCAGGAGGATGAGCAGAGTCAGGCTCATCCCTGCTCCCTGCTGAGTGCCAGCCAGGCAGGAGGCTCCTCCAGGCCAGTCAGTCCCCAGCAAAAGGACATCAGTGGTCCACGAGGACACCCAGCACACTCTGCTTCACGGGAGCAGAACCAAAAGGCAGCACTGCATTGCAAAGCACAGCCCTGCTGTCACGGATCTGACCTGAACTCGCCCGTGCACCCAGTGCGGTCCCACCACAAGCTGCAAGTTAGTCAGCACCCAGTGAACCTCCTGCCCCCACTGCCACAGTGAGGGACGAAACAGCGCAGGGCTGTGCTTCAAGACAACGGCCACAGAGGAGGGAGCAGCTCAGGGAGGGCCCAGGCTGCTGCTGACGATCCCAAGGCAGAACAAGGCTGCTCCAAGAGCTGCCCATGCCCTTGGCTGGGCACAAGATGGGGCTCAGCACGGCATTCCCCAGGGTGAGGCCAGGTCCTCACCGCAGCTGGACGAGGAGCACAGGGCTGGCAGCTCCAGCCCTGACCCTTGGGAAGGGCTGAAGGGAGGGTAAACGCTGTGCTCCCCACGTGGTCCAGTTGGGAATGTGCTGTTTCAGCAGGCAGCAGCCTGCGCTGGGATCCAGCAGCCACGCTGCAGCCAGCAGCAGCTCCTGAGCCTGCCAGGCCTCTGGGCTGGGCCGAAGTGAACAAGGGCACTCACAGCACAGCCGGGCAGCTGCGGAAATATTTCCAAGCCGCATTTTCCGCTCACGCTCTCTGCAGAAGGCAAACACCAGAAGCTCATAAATTCAGCCTCGGAAAGCACCGGGGCTTGCTGCCCTGCAGGGCTGCCTCTGCAGGGGCCCCTTCCTCCCAGGCTGCGGTATGGGCACGCTCTGCGTGACAGTGGGACAAGGGACCACCACGTCAGGGCAGACCCAGGAAGCAGAAATACAGCCAGCACTGAGCTGCGCAGGCAGCCAAGAGACAGCTCTGCACCTCCCAAGCAGGCCTCATCCGAGCACAGGCCACAAAGAAATAACACAGCCTTGGCTCGAATACAATTTCTCTGTTGCAAAAATGCGCCTTCCCCCAGCAACACAACGTGCTGCGTGCAAAATGGCCTCAGGCATTTGAACTGCTGTCCCACAGGTTGTGTGCACGGGGCTGGGGTGGCTGTGGGGTCCCCCCACAAGGGACAGGGCACAGCTGGCACCCGGTGCACTGCGTTCCCTGCCTTCACTGCTGCCCATCCTAGGGCAGGAAGCAAACCGGCTGGCTTTTGGTTTCTTTTCCATGGGTCAGGAACGTCAGCACAAATCCTTTTCCACATCACACAGCTCTCCACCCCCAACCTTGCACAGGGCAGAGGCTTTGACCACCCACACACAGCTCTGCCAAGCCAAGCTCCAGGAGCATGAGAGAGCCCACAAAGGCACAAGTACAGCCCTCGAGGGCGTGCAGGGCTGGGTGCAGGCAAGGCCAACACATGCACTGCAGAGCGTGCCCCGGGCTCCCACGAGGAGCCAATCCCTGGAAGGGGGGTGACGTCAGTTGGTGGCTCCTGCTGCCAGTCCCAGCGCCTGGCCCAGCCACGTCTGCACCCTGCAGAGACCGTGGGATCCCCAGGGCCTTGACGCTGGGTTTGGGCACAGCACACCCAGCCCCGCCGTCGCGCTGTCACACAGGGGCTCCTTTCTGCTCCTTAGGGCCTCTGAGAGGTTTCATACAGCACCTGACAGGGCAGCCGTAGCTCCCAGCTCTGCGGGCAGCACCGAGGCTGCTAGCTCCTCTGCTGAAGCCGTGCCAAGCCCAGTTCCTGCCCCAGGTGTGTGGTGCTCATGCCCTGCTCAGTCCTGGCTCTGCCACGCACAGATACAGACGGGTGCCAGGAAGATGAAAATTAGCTGCAGTTCTTGGAAGTTCTCTTTTAGACCCAGATTTTTTTCCTCTTGCCCAGAGACAAGTAACTGCATCTCAGCGGGGCTGAGCAGCTCCTGGCAAGGAGCGATGTGCCAGGTGCTCAGGAGGCAGACAGGAGAGGTCAGGACTTGCTCTGTGAAGGAGGGAGCTGGGTAGAACCCTCAGCAAAGCAGGGAGAGGGACCACGGGGATCCAGCCGGTCATGGGCCAGGGAAAGACCTCTTAGAGGAACAAGGCCTTAGAGAGGAACAAGGCTCGTTCCAAAAAGCACTGCAAAGCTTTGAACATGAACACAGACCAACACACCCAAAGAACACAGCGTGAGCCCACAAATCCTGCACAACTCAACACCTGGCAGGGATCTGCCGAGCAGCAGAAGGGGCCTGCAGTGATGCTTACCTTGCTCAAGAGCCTCCTGCAGTCGGCAGCCACTGGCTCCTGGTGTTGCAGGCAGGGGTCTCTGCACTCGGGGCCGGTGCGAAGGGACGGAGATCTTCACGGGCCCCACGTACTCCACGTACGTGCCGGGGAAGTCGCCCTTCTGCTTGGTCCTCTCATTGACACCCAGGATCCACCCGATCTGGTTTGGGTTCTGCTCGTCCCCATCTTTGAAGCCCAAGGCTTGCAGGGCTCCCTTGCTCACCACCAGGATGTCCCCAGGCACCAGGTCAATGTCCTCCTCGCGCTCCTTGCGGTACGGATAGAGCGCACGGTACTGGAAGCCGTCGGTGCTGCCCATTCTCTCTGCCATGAGGAGACGGCTCCGAACAGTGAGGCAGCGTCCTTTGGGCGGGAGAGGAGAGACCTCAGGGGCAGCTCTCCCCCATCAGCAGTCTGAACGTCTCTGCACAAACCAGCACCTCGGGAGCCCGGTCCCAGTGCCCCGGCTTGCTTAGGTGCAGCCCCTTTTCCTCAGCTTGAAACCGCGGTTCAGCCAAATTATGGAGCAAAGGGAGAAGGAGACAAACATAATCCAGCACTCGTGAGTGGGCATGCAGCAAAGAAAAAAGGAGGGCAGGGTTCAGTTCACCAAAAAAGAAGGTTTCCTGGAGTCCGCAGGGCAAAAGCACGGAGCGTTTCCAGCCAGGAGCCGCGTGGCATGCTGCTCCTCCAGACCCAGAGCCTGCAGGGAAAGAGAAGAAGGCTCGTCACCGCACCGCCAGGCACCCCGCGCCCTCCCAGGAGCCAGCATTCAAAGCAGGGATCATCCAAGCGAGGCAGGGCTCGCTTCCCTCCTAACGAGGCTCACTGCAAGCCCTGGATCCAAGCGCTCTCTGCCAGGACACGCTAAGAGCAATTTACACTCAGAAAAGCACGAGGGGAGCCAGCGGCTGCTCGCAGGAATGCTGTGCAGAGCGAACACCTCCCCTCTGCCACAGCCAGGCGCTGGCTCTGCATCTTAAAGAGGATCACTTCTGTTTCTTCAGCTCGCTCTCTTCATAGCACTCATGCAAACAAGAGGACAACAAGTGGGACAAAACAGCCTTTATGCAGGAACTTTTGCGTACAGAAAAGGGTGACCCTGCAACCACCAGCTGGAGGCCCTGAATAGGAGCAAAACAAACAGATTTAACCTTTTCTTGCTAAATTGATTAAATGTCACAGTTCACCTTTCACACCTCCCCATGCAATTCCCCACAAAGTCATTTTCTGAAGGTAACTGCCCACAAATGATGGTTAACACAGCTTTCAGTTGAAGGCTTTCAAGGCGCTGCGCCATTCCCACAGAGCAGCACTTCAAAGCTTTGCTTTGAGCAAAGTGAATTTTTGAACTTTTATTTAAAAGCAGCAGCACGAAGCGTAGGCAACGCAGGCACAGTTTCTTCACAGATGGAAGCGAGAGAGGTTAAAAATAAAAGTATCTTCAGAAGCCTTCAAATCTGCTTAGAGCCGCTCACCGCCTGTAAGCTATTCGAGCACGGAGAAACCGAAGGACGGGCCGCCTGCCCAGCCCAGAAAGCCACCCAAAAGAACAAACCTGGGCTGTCGCACGCTGGGTAAGGGCTGCGTGAGCCGGGCATTCCCTGCACAGCCTCCTTTCCCATCCCTCCCTGCCATTTCCACCTCCCTCAGGCAGAGCCGTGGTGCTGAGGATCGGCCCTGTGAGGCACAGCCTGCGGGGGCAGCTGGGAACACGCGGCCCAGCGATGCCGTCGCCCTGCTGGATGGCTGCAGGTCCTGTCAGCAGCCTGGGCCCTTCTGGCCCAGAAACCCACACCTCATCCAAAAGCCATCAGAGCTCGGAGCTCCCCGAGGCAGCAGCACAGCCTTCTGCCTGCACCGGGTGACCCCAGCACCCTTCCCAGCAGGACGAACGCTCTGCCAACCAAAGCCAAAGCGGCTCCGACCTCCTGCAGGGCTCAGCAAGAGGCATTAACATCCGTGATCTGCAGCAACTTGAAACAACCCTCCCGGGCCAGCTGCATGCAGCTACAAGCCCCCTTTCCTACCACATCTGCGTGCTAACAGAGGGTTGAAGAGATGGCACGAGCCCCCCTGAAGCTGGCTGCACCCCCAGCTCTGCAGCCCCGCTGCTCCCAGCACCGCCCTGCAAAGCTCGCTCATTCCCTTGACAAAGAAAGGCACAAAGAAGCTGCAGAGCACAAAACCTGTGCAGGAGCCAGAGCCTGTGCTGGCTGCCTGAGTCTGGGCAGACATCCCAGCTGGGCTGCCTCCTCCATGAATGAGCAGAGAACCCTCAGGGAGGCCGGACGCTCGCAGGGAGGCTCCAGCTGGTGCAGAACAGGACTGAGCCTGATCCAGGTCACTGGAGAGCTTCTCCACAGCTTTAAGTGCAACACGAGGCTGCGCAGCTCCCCAAGAGGCCCTCGGGATGCGGGGTGCTTGCAGGCAAGGCAGCACAGCCCAGCACAGTAGCCACAGAACGCTCACAGCAGAACGCACATTTCCTGAATCCAAGCAGTCCCAGCCAGGAAAATATTACTTCATAACCCAGAGCATTAAGAGAGATTTATGGCCACGCTGGGACGCCTGCCCCTCGCCCCTCTGAACTCTGCCTGCTGGGTCTGATGGAGAGGAGCCACCAGCCTGCAGGGGACAGAGCCTGAACACAGCGGCTGCCCGGCACCCAGGCGCAGATCCCAGCCCAAAAGCCAGGTGCTTCCAACCAGCCACTGAGGCTGGGAGGACAAAAAACGCTCAGCCCCGGCGAACTCGTTCAGTAGCTTTTAAGAGCAGAGCTGCACGGTGGGGTGGGAAGAGGCTCCGGAGCTCCGAGTCTCCCAGGAGCAGGTCCCACAGCTTCTGGCTCCGTGCAGCCCGGCGCCTGCTCTTGCACAAGGCAAGGAGCTCAGCTGCTGCAGCAGCTCTCAGCGCTGACAGACCCCGGTGGGAAAGCAGAGCCCTGCCTCCACGCTGCCCTGCTCTCCACGCCCCAGCGGGGCGCCTGGCACGCACATAATTACGGCATCGGAGCCGGGCCGGCCTCGCGCCTCACCTGCCTTCCCTGCACTCAGTCCATGCTGGCAGGGAGCCTCGCCGCCCCTCCTCCAGGAGCCACCAGCGGGCGGCTGAGCCGTGCAGGACCACCGCCTGGGGAACCTCTGTGCAGAGCAGGAGATCAGTGCGTGTGTGGGGAGAGAGGGAGGGAACGCAGCCCTTCCACAGCCCTTAAATAGATATTTGGAGGGAAGGAGAAGCCGGGAAGGGGCAGGCGGTGCCGAGAGCGCGGGACACGCACGAGCCTGCCTGCTGCCAGCGCCTCCAAAGCGGGGCTCTGCGTGCGCCAGGAGAGCCAGCAGCTTGCCAGCACATTTCTGCTGGGCCCGTCTCCAGCACCGCTCACGGGGAAGGAGCCTCGTGTGTCTGTGCTGGCGAGCACTTGTCGAGCTCCTCTGAAAATCCCATGCATTAGACATCTAAATACCTTGGTAAATCTATCTCAGTGCCCAGAAACAATCCCACGATTCATTAGCCGCTGTCAATACTTTCTTTGTTTAATACACCAGTCTGAAACAAAAAACACATTACGAGCCTTTTTTCTGCGTGCCCAGCACATAAATAAAAGCATCTTAGCTTTTATGAAATGCGGTTCCTGAGCTTTTTAACCAAGTTCCAAATGCGGTTCAAAGGGCAGCTTGGCTTGAAGTGAGGCAGAGCATTGCTTTCCCTCCAGCGAGGCACAAGTATGCGTAAAAATATTCTAAAAAAAGTGTTTATGACAGCTTCCACAGCTCCAATGTCTGCATCAGATCCTCAGTGAGGGGGAAAAAAAGAGAAGAAAAAAGACGAGAAAACCAAAACCAGATCAAGTTCTGAACTGCACGAAAGCCCACATGTTAACAGGTTACAAACCATGAGAACAAACCTTCCATCTGCTAAAAACAGCGTGGCACGGGGCAGCCAAGCCCATTTTCACCTCTTTCCTCACCAAGAAATGCTTCTGTCGCAGCTGCCAACAGAGCAGCAGTGTCCCACTCACGGAGCACAACTGCACGCACTGGGGCTCTTCGCTTCATGTCCCCGCCACGTCCCCACAAACACCCGATTTCCATTTTAGAAGCACGGGGAAGAGCTCAGAGTTGGGTTTTTTTTCCCCAGCAGTGGTTATTCCCTTAAAGAAAGTCACCGTTCTAAAAAAGCAAAGAGCACACAGAAACGACACCCCGCTTCTGCTGACCCATCTGCTTAAAATCACTTTTGTGCAGCGTCAGGAATCCATGACAGTCTGTTAGAAGCTCAACACGGCACAGCAACGGCGCGAATAACCTACAAGGTGAGATGCATGCAACCCTACAAGGATACGGCAAGAGCTGCACCACCTTCCAGCCCGAGCTGCTCCGTCCCTTCCTCCGTTTGCTCTCCATCTTCCATTACTCAGCCGCTTCAGCGCCAGGCTGTGGCTGCAGATACTCTCAGAGGAATTAAGAGAGCCCCCGATATTATAAATACAGCTTTTTATTGTAAACACAGCAGCGCTCCGCCGCTCCAGCCTGGCTCCGTTCCCCGCTGCATTCCTCTGAGCTGCGGTTTCTCTCCCAACCAGCACAGAACTTTCGTCCAGTGAGAACCAACTGCACGCAGAAGCGATTTTTCCACGTTCTTAGAGGAACCACGAGGTAAAAAGGAGCGTTTGGGGGCTGCCATCAGCAGCGGGAGACCCGCAGCGCGGCAGTCGGCGCTGTGCCACGAAGCGCGGGGCAGATCCGAGTCACACGCTCGGAAATCGGGGAAGGAACCCAAGAACCCGGGCCGCCCCTCGTAAAGGACGGGGCAGGGAGCGGAGCGGAGGGCAGCAGGCAGGGCGGGGGACGGGCCGGGAAGGCGACGTTCGGGGCTGTGTTTGCTCAGCTGTCTCCATTCTCTGCTCTCACAGCCGCGGTTCCCCCGCTCCGGAGATAAAAGGCGGAGGACGGGCGGCCGTTCCGCGGCGCTCGCACAGCCCGGACCCCCGGCTTCGCTCCCCGTTTCTCTCCGCGCCGCAGCCCGGGACGCCGCCCCGCGGACGACGAGGGCCGGCCGGCACGTGGAGCTCCGGGAGCGGCCCGGCCGCACGGGGCAGCGCGGGGCTGCGGGGACGGCAGCGAGACCGGGACGCGGAGCCGCGGCGGAGAGCCGGGCCGAGATCGGGGCCGGGGCCCGTCAGCTGTTGTTGCTGCTGCTGCTGCTGCTGCTGCTGCTGCTGCCGCCCCCCACCCGCGCCGCCGGCCCCAGGGCGGCCCGCGCTCGCAGAGCCCCGGCCCCGCGCCCCGCTCACCTCCCCGCCGCCTCCATCCGCCGCCGCTCGCCTTCAGCCCGTTCCTTCTTTCCGGCCCGGAGGCAGCCTGGGAAAAGGCCCGAACGCCGCCGGAACGGCCCGAACCCGCCCCGGAAAGACCCGACAGCTGTCGGAGAAGAACGAACCTCCCCGAACGCTAACTGGCCACGCCCCTTCCCCCTCTCTGTCGGCTGCAATCGGGATCCCGCCCCCGCGGCCGAATAGTTCCGGAAAGAGCCGACCGCTAACCGGCGCCAACCGCCGCGCGGCGGCGTGGGGCAGAGCGGCCGTGCGGGAGAGCGCTGTGCCGCCACCTGGCGGAGGGAGGGGGAAGGGGGCACGGGGCGCCGGGCGCCGTGTGGACCCTGGGCGCTATGAGGGCCCTGCGCGAGGATCGCAGCCCCTCGCCCTCCTCCAGCCCCCCCCCGGCCCCAGCCACTTCTGCAGAAGGCCGCAGGCCACAACAAGTCCCAAGGAACAATTTAATGCCGCGTAAAACTCCGCAATGCTGACAGCAAGGCCGGTGCTCGGCCCTTCCCAAGGCAAGGCCCTGTTTGCTTTCGCCGCTTTTTCTGTTAAAAAAACCCTTTGCGAGGCCAAAGCGGAGCACCGTGAGGTCAAATGAGCGGGAATGCTGTGGGAAAGGCCTCACGTGTGCTGAGAATCCAGTCGGGATCGGGCCCAGCAAATCCAGTCAGAAATGAGCCGCCAGAATCCTGCCAGGAACGGGGTTTGTGGGGTTTGGTGGTTGATGGAAGAACTGGGCGGGTTGGTGTGGGGTTTGTGTTTAAAAAAACAAAAAGGAAATAGTGGTTTTTCACAAAATGCACCTGCGCATGCCCAAAGATACATCACAGCTGATTGAAAAGTAAACCTAAAAATGCCATTATTTGTGTTACATTGCTGAGCCCCCAGCATGGTGGGGCTGGGTGAGCTTCTCCTCCCCAGCCCAATCCCACTCGGGAACACCAATAGGGTGGGCTCAGTGGTTTGGGTCTTTCTCAGAAGGAAACATAATTAAAAAAATTTAAACCTCTCCATCCTTTGCATGTTAATAAAACAAAGCGTGTGGCCCTGCCGTGTTGCCCACCGGGATGCTGGGGTTTGGAGCATTTTCCTCCAGAGTAGGGAGGCACCAGGGGGATTTATGGGGACGGAGGCGATCCTGAATGCAAATCATAGAATCATAAAGGTTGGAAAAGACCACTGAGATCATGTAGTCCAACCCCCTGTCTACAGAGGGGAACCCTCAGCTTCAGTGCTATCCAGAAAACCGCCTTATAACACCCTTTTGGGTGCTTTTCCAGCTGAAAGTGAGCAAATGTGGAAAAAAGCTGGTTAGAAAACATCGTGCCATTGGGACAGGAGCTGGGAAATGCACAGAAAAGGTTGGGACGGCTCGGACCCTGCAATGCCTTTTAGCTTATAAAAGTAATAAATTAGTTTGGAGTAGTTCAGAGTATTTGCATCGAGTCCTTTCTTTTCAGCGTGGGCCTCACCAGGGGAACACCACTGCAAAAACGTGAGCATCTCTCCGGGAGCACAGAAGTCACACCTCCAGGTCGCAGTGCGTTAAATCCCACGGAGCCACGTGTGCCCAGGGTCCCTTTTAGGGGATGTCCCGTGCTGACAGCCCCGGGGGGGCCCTGTCCCCACAGGTCCGGTGCTGCCGGCGGCCGTCCCGCCACGGCACAGCGATGCCAGCAGTGCCATCGGTGCCCAGCAGGTGCAGCGGGTAGGAGCCCTGGCACTGCCAGCCCACCGGCTCCTGCTCGTCGCCCTCTGAGCCCTGCACCGCGATCTGCGGCACCCGGCCGACCCTGGGCTCCACGCGGCCCTGGCCCTGCCCCGTGTCGCCCTTGGCACCGTCCTCGCTGCCCGGCTCATCGAAGCTGACTTCTTGTACAGCCTCCTGCTTCTTGAAGGAGTCGCGGCGCTCAGAGAGGTTCAGGCGCCGCATCACCACCATCTCCTGCTCTCCCTGCCTCCAGGCTGCCATATGGCCGTGCTCCCCGCAGTGCACCGAGCCGGGCGCTTCGCCCTCCCCAAACACCTCCCCAGTCCCATCCCGTGCAGGCATCTCCGGTCCCAGCTTGCGGCTGCCCACGCTCTTCTTCTCCGCCAGGTAGGTTGCCATCTTCTCTGCTGACTGCACGCGCTTGAGGAGGGGTGAGCGGGGGCACTCGGCGCTGCGTGGCCGCGGCCCCTGCCGCACAATGGTGGGGGGGGACAGCGTCTTGCCTTGGAAGGGATGGGTGGTTTTGGGGTGTCCGGGCAGCAGCGGGGATGGGGATCTCTGCGGGGACGTGGGTCGCGGGGCACAGGTAGGTGTGCAGGCCAGGGGTGAGGGTGGGATGCTGCTGGTGGACTTGCGGCGTCCCACCTTGTAGCGCTGACCGCCCAGCTTGGGGGCCAGCCCGTGCAGGGTGCTGGGCCGCACGTGGCCAGCTGGAGACGTGGGGGTGCTGGAGGAGGGAGAGGTGCTCTGTGGGGACACCGCATCTGCCACAAAAACGAGAGAGAGAGGAGTCACTACCGGGGATGTCACCGGCCCCGAGCCCAAGTGTGGTGGCCACAGTACCTGGGGGCAGGTCTGGAGCGGGGCTGCGGCAGGGCGTCGTGGGACCTGGTGACAGGCTGTGCGTAGGGGACTCTGGGAGACTCTCACTCGATGACAGCGAGTGGTGGAGGCCGGAGGAGAAGCTGCGGCTGGTGTGCAGGACCGTTGACTGCTTGGAGATCTTCTTGAAAAGGGATTTCCTCCTTGGGAGGGAAGAAAACACGTGGGAAGATTGGTCACAAACAGCAGCAACAGGCAGGGACACTGCTTGGAGCCACCGATGCCAGCAGTCCCACGTTGGATGCCACCAGACCCTGTGGTACTGCAGAATAAGAGCAGCCGCCCCTTCCTGTTGCATTCCTGCTCCAGGACATCCAGGACACACGTGCCATTTTATCCCCCCGTTTCTGCCCACCTGTCCTGGCTGTCCCTTTTCCTGCTCTTCTTGCTCCTTCGGGCCATCCTTGTCTTGGAGCTGTTTTTCCGGGCAGGGCCAATTTTAATGGAGGTGTTCTCCAGGGCGGTGGTCCGCAGGGCGACCTTATTGCCGCTCTGAGGACAGAAAAGGGCTCGGTGGGCATGCTGCACTCAAGCACGACTGTACAACCTGCCGCTTGTGCTTGATGCACCAGTTTCAACAGCTGCATGCAGATCCCAAGTGCATCGCAGCAGGGCAAGCACCTACCTTCAGCAGCAGCTCCACGACGTCCCGGTGCACCAGGCCCAGCACTGACTCCCCATTCACGTGTGTGATGAGATCACCCGCTCTCAGCCCTGCTTCCTGTGCAGGACTCCCTTCTTCCACGCTCTGGAAGGGAACGGCCGGGGTTTTGTTTGGACACAGCCCGTACCTCCCACCCTTGTGTCCCAACAATGTCACCAGTCCCTGGGCCACTTACCCAGACCATGTGGTGCACAGTGTAGACGTCACTGTCCCCCATGTACACGCGGATGGCACGCAGCGTGAAGCCGTACTTCTTTCCTGAGCTGTGGATGATGATGGGGGGCCTCAGGCTGGTGATGGCCAGGGAGGAATCCCGGCTCGGGGACGAGTCGCGGGAAGAGGGGTTGGATGAAAGCGAGTGAGGGGAGATGGGACTCATGAGGGCGCCGCTGCTGAAGTCATCTGCAAGGAGAAAGAACGAGATGGCTTGTTCCAGGGAAGCCACACGGCAGCCACCCTGACCATAGATGGCTACCACAAACCTGATGTGATGATGAGGGACAAGGCTGAGACAGAAGCGGATTTGGGCACTCGGCTGCCCGGTGAAGCTCTTGGCTTCTCCACGCCATCCCTCTGGCTGCTCAGCCGGCGGCTGCTGCCTGGCTCCAAGCCTCGTGGAGCTGAGTTCTTGGTGCCCGTGCTGTTGCTCCGCAGGCGGATGCGGTTCAGACTGACGAGATCAGCTGCACAAAGGGAGGAGGAACAGGGAGCTGAAATGGCCAAGAACGGCGGTGGCCCTTTGGATCTTCAATAGGGTGCTGGAGGACATGGAGAAAACACCTCACGCTGTTAGGAAACCTGGCTGCCCCCAAAACCTGCGCACCAGATAGCGATGAGGTCTTCACTCCAGAGTCAGGGTCTCCCAGCACAAATTTGGGTCGCTCCGGCTTGGCTGAGGCCACACAAGGGCTTTCATCTTCTGAGGAGAAGGCAAACTTGGGCATGGTGTCCAGGCTGTAGGTGCTGGTCAGGGCAGCAGGGCTGCGGCTGCGCTCGTGCTGGGCAGTGTACGGTGTGGAGCTGCAGGATGTCCAGGACCGCAGCCTGCAGGAAGGAGCCAGAGGGCTCAGGGCACCCACGCATGGGCAAGGAGGTGGTGCTGGATCCCCCTGCAGCCCTGCATGCATCTCACCAACAGCAGCTCACGTTAGTCCCTGTCTCACCACTCACCGGGGCTCTGCGCCCGATGGCCGGTTCTTGTCCTCGTCACCCGAGTGGCGGTCCCACCGCTCTGCCCTGTCCTCCTTGTCCTCGCTGTGGCTCCGGTCAGAGGATGAGAGGCTGAGGTTGGAGTGCGTGGCCAGGTACTCGGAGCTGCTGTACACCTGGGGAACAGGGGAGTGCTTGGAATGGAGCGGCAGCAGGGGGGCTGTGGCATCTTGTCACCTGGGTCTTAGGGGACAGATCCAAGCACCTTGCTGAAGCGGTGGGAGCAGGAGGAGAACTGGCCAATCTCTACAGATGATTCCTCATCGTTGGTCTCTTCGTCTTCCGAATCCAAGTGCCGGTACCTCTCGGATCGAGCTGAAAGCAAAAGCCCCAGTGGTGAGGGGACAGGACGTGGAGGTGTGTCGTGGCTGACAGCCCAGTCCTGAACCCACAAATGTTTTGGGATGAGAAAGCAATACTTTCATTAAGGCTGAGCAGTCTGGAAACAGAATTACATCTGTTTTTGTGACTTAGCTCAGGGCAGAAAATGCCCAACTTCACCCAGGAGATTTTCATCTCCTGCTGCAGCATCCTTCCTGCAGTGGGGACAAAAGATGACAGGGACAAGGGCACGGAGGCGGCCTCACTGTCGAAGTAGCTGGTGTCGTCCTCTGACTCCAGCTGTGGGATGAACTCCGCTTTCTGCCGCAGAAGCCCGTTCCAGTCCAGGTGGAGGAAGAAGGCATGGTGCTTCACCTCGTGCGCACCCCCTGGCAGGCAGAGAAACCTGCATTAGGGGGTCCAAGTGTCCTTGGTACCGCAGGACACCCTTCAGCTTCAATCACATGCAAGCAAATCAGAGAACCATAGAATGGTTTGGAGAAGCCTTGAGCACTGCTCAGTCTGGACCCATTTTGAGCCCCACCTGCTGCCCCCTGGCACACGTACCGGTGCCCAGGCGCTCGAGCGGGCACTGCCTCAGCAGCCGTGTGATCAGGTCCTGAGCATCAGCAGGAAGAGCCTCATCACCCTCTGGCCACATGATTTCATCTGCAACAGAAGGGGAAGTGACACGGAGCCCTCTCTGTGCTGGGAGCCATGGATGGGGCTCAGGGGTTCGGGGGCCGGGGAATAAGCAAAGCAAGCAGCGCTCACCGCTGATCACCTGCCCGAAGAGCTCCTCGGGGGTGTCCCCAAAGAAGGGGACACAGCCCACAAGGAACTCATACAGGATGATGCCCATGGCCCACCAGTCGACAGGCTTCCCGTAGCCCTGGATGAGGATGACTTCGGGCGCGATGTACTCTGGGGTGCCGCACACCTGCGTTCGAACCAGACGTTGGAATCTCTGCAACAACCTGCGCCATGGGCCCCAAGCTGGTTCTGGGTCCTGGTGACCACCCTCATACCTGCTTGTCCATGAACTCCCTGGTGTCCTTCTCCATGTGCCCCTCGTAGAGGTTGGTGGTCATATTCATCAGGCCAATCTTGGACAGCCCAAAGTCTGTCAGCTTTATGTGGCCCATGGAGGTGATGAGCAGGCTGTAAAGAAGGCACCACCTCACTGCCTCTGGCTGGGACCAGACCTGCTCCCAGCCCAGCCCATCCCCTTGGTGGGCCCCAGTGCCCTCACTTGTCAGGTTTGAGGTCGCGGTGCACAATGCCGTAGTTATGGAGATATTCCAGGGCCAGCACAGTCTCAGCAAAGTACATCTTCGCCATGTCCACGGGCAGCGGGCCCATGTTCTTCAGCAATGTGGCACAATCCCCACCTGTGGAAACACTGCTGCTGATTGCAGGGCAGAAACGTTCACCTGGAGGAGGATGGGTACCACCCCCATTGAGGTGCGACTCAGAACAACAGAAGTGCTTCCACCCATGCCCCAGACATCAGGATGGCATCCTCAGTGCTCCTCGGGGCCCCTGCTCTCACCCCCCACTGGCGCCATTGATGTCCCCAAACCCCCTTCTCACCTTCCACATACTCCATCACCATACAGAGGTGTCGCTTCGTCTCGAAGGAGCAGAACATGCTGACCACAAAGGGGTTCTCTGCGAAAGTGAGGATGTCCCTCTCCACAAACACCTGCTGGATCTGGTTGCGCAGGATGAGGTTCTGCTTGTTGATCTTCTTCAAGGCAAAGCGCTGCCGCGTCTCCCTGTGCCTCACCAGGTACACGGCCCTAGGAGAGAGCGAGCAACCAGACCTCAGAATGTGGTCTCCAGCCTCCAGGACAACCCCACAGCACCACGGGGCTTGGAAGAACAGCAGATAGGGTCAGAAAGGTGCAAATGCCACACTTATGGGCTTTGGAGATGTTTGCAGGAGGAGGCAGGTTAGAAATAGCAGCATGCTGCCATGCGTTCTGCTCGCTGCGGAGCAGGAGGGATGCGTGTGGCCAGCTCACCCATAGGCTCCGTTGCTGATCAGCTTGATGGTCTCAAAGTCGCCCTCACAGGGCTTCCTCCGAGGAGCACTGACCGACTGCTGGCTCTGAGGAGACACAGAAGGGTTTGAATGTGTCTGTGTGTGCTGCCAGAGGGCTGGAGCCCCACGGGGCTTTGAGGGTCCAGAGGTGAGGCTGTGCTCACCTCACAGGCATCGTCGTTCTCAGGGGTGATGGTGTTCCCACTGTCAAAGTGGTCCAGCTGGACCATCTCTGCAGAGGACAGGGACCGTATTCACATTCATCCCGCTCACATCCCTTTGTGCCAAAAGAAACCCCCGGCCACCACCCGCCCTCCCACATCAGGGATCCCACGGGGGTTGAGCTGCATGCTTGGTGCAAGCTATCGTAGGCAGAAATTCAGGTCACAGCATTAGGAGGTTAAGCACGAGGCCAAACATTTACATAATTCTCTTTTTCCCATAGTCATTCCCCATCGTGCTCCTCGGGGATTATGGTTTCCCCCAAAGCCTTGGCTTCCTATGGATTAAGTGTTCTTCCTATTAATCTGCTTTGCTGAACATGCCGGGAGCAGTAAGGAGGGATGCTGGGCTGGCTGTAGGCTTGGCTGTCATCCTGCTGTTGCAGCCCCCAGAGCCCACGGCCCGCAGACCTGCCCAGCGGCCTCCTACCCTCCAGAGGGTCCTTGACGAGCCCCAGCTGGCTGATGATGTAGCGGGGAATGTCGGTCTTTATGCCCTGACCAACTTTGGCGTGGCCCTCAGCAGCTTCCAGGAGATGGTAGAACTCCTCAGGGTCAAACTCCTGGGTGGGGAAAATCAAGCGTGGTCAGGGAGCAAAGCCAAAGCTTCCCTCCAAGCACTGCATGACGGCTGCTGCGTCTTACCAGGCACTCCAGAAGGCGAGCAGGACGGGAGATGATTATCAGCAGCTTCCTCACCAGCTGGTCAATGAACTTCACTTCCTCACTCTCCGAACGCTCCTGAGCCTGCCAGAAAGGGGACAGAAGCCAGGAGTCACCGATGGCCTTGGGAGATGGCGCCGAGCAGAGAACTGCCCCCACTCACGTCTCTCAGCATCTTCTCGAGCTTCTCCTGCAGCTCCATGAAGTAGCGAGAAGTGATGAGGGCCCCCTGGGATTTGGCCAAGCAGTCGCGAGCCAGCTCGATGATCTGGTGGTGGATGAAGCCCAGCACCCCGTCGGCCAGAGGCAGAGTGCTGCTGGAAGAGAAGTTCCTGATCGTGTCCTGCAGACGCTCCTCCATCTGGGCTGTAGCCTGCAAGGCAGGAGGGATGGTGACGATGGAGCTCGTGTCCCCGTGCCCCCTGCCTCCTGCAGCCCCAAACCCCACGTGTGCCTCACCCAGACCCCACTCCCACCACCTGCTCATGCTCCAACAACACAGTGCCACACATTCCAGAGAATGTGTGGCATTTGCGATGATGCAGAACCACACGGTTCACTCCCATGCCTCCAGTGGCCCCCAGCACCCCCATAAGTATTCATGCATTCTATGTTCCAGCACAGAGAAGTGATTTTTCTGCAGAAGCTGCCCGGTGCTGTGGGAGCACAGATGCTGCCATCCCCTCCATGGCCGTTACCTTGGGGAACCGCTCCTTGTAGACATGGTTCATCATCACGACCTCGTTATCAAATGTTCCACTCGTCCGCCCAGGGCTGTGGGGAGCAAAATGGAGGAAAAGCCCGGTGAGTTACGAATCCAAAGCATTTAGAAGCATGCAAATAGCTCCTGCTCCCAGAGGAGCTCGTGGTTCCCATGTCACGAGCTGTCAGAGCCTGTGCAAGCAGAGCTGTCAGCCTTGGGCCAGGACTTGTAGCAGTGATGGGATCGCCTGCATGGCCAGAGTGTCCTGGGGTCCCCCCACCGCACACCCACCAACACCAGCAGCTCACTCCTTCCCTCGCTTTGGTGTTTCCACCTTGTGCAGAGGCTGCCAGCTGTTCTTACAGGGCTGGGCGGTGCTGGGCTCCTGCAGACCCAGCTCTTCCAACTCAAGTCCCTGGAAAAGCCTCTGGCGTTTTGGGCCACCAGTGCTGCATTAGTCACTTGGCTTCCACCACTGAGCTCATCCACCACTTCCTCTCATGCCACAATTTGTGCTTCTGCCCCTGCCGTGATGTCTGGGACACAGACAGCAACAACGCAGCCACTGGAGGGCTGCCTGGGCCGCAGCCAAGCACGATGGGAGAGCATCCACAGCCATCCTGACGCCCATGCTCTGATGCAGGCATTGCCCTTTTGGCAGCCCACAGCACAGGGAGCCCAACCAGACCCCAGCCGCCCCGCAGCGGACGTGGGAACGTTCAGAAAAAGGCTTCCTGCACGGACAGGTTGCTAAAAAGGGCTATTTTGGAACAAATCCCACTTTCTCCAACCTCAGCCCAGGGAATCTCACCCTTAGGCATCCTCTGACACATCCCAGCAGCCTCACACTACCGAAAAGCAGAGCCCAGTGTGCAAAAGCATGGAGTTTTACCACTATCCCTGCCAGGGAAGAAACTGCATCAGGGTCAGCGCCCAGGGTGCGGCCAAACAGGACCTTGATGTCACAGAACGGCTCGCGAGAAGGTGGCAAGCAGGACCTGGTTCACGTGGGTGGTCTCTGTACCTCAGGCTCCGGGATCGTGGGCGCAGACAGGGCGAGTGCCGCCCCTCCTCATCCGTGACGCTCTCAGTGCTGCGGAAGTGTTTGGAGAGGAAATGCAGCTCATCGGGGGTGGGCTGGTATGGCAGCTGGTGCAGCCGCTCCTGGGAGGACGAGGACGACTGGAAGGAAGGACAGATGTGGGCGGTCAGGAGATGGGACGGAACCTCGCAGGCAGCGGGGTGGGAAGCAGCAGAAAATCTGCCTTGAAGCTCCTGTTAGTCTGAAAACTGATCAGCAGCATTCCTCGGCGTGCACCTCCTGCAAGCGTGGGCCCCCAGCCCAGCTCCATGCACTGACCCCAATCCTGGCTGCCCATCACACCCCAGGCAGCTCTCGCCCTTCTGTGCATGGCCAAGATGTGCAACCAGGTGCAGCAAAGCTTGGATGTGCAGAGGGAATGCGCCTTACCGAGACGGTGGAGCTGGGGGTGTTGGTCCCATAGCCAGATGAGGGGAGCGAAGCCAGTGACCACCTTCTGCCATCGGCCCTGCAAGCACAAACATGTCTATGGCACAGTGGAAAAAGCAGGTGAATGCAAGTATAGAAATAGCATCAGAACGATAAGGATGGGAGAGAGGACTTCTGTTTGGCCAACTGGGAGAGCCTGGAGTGCCAGAATGGACTGAAAGTTGGTTCTGTGTGGTGGAGGCACTGCGGGAGCAGGGAACACAAAGTGACAGCAGCTGCAGCCCCAGCTCGGCCCCATGCTGCACGAGAGGCTTTGCTTGCAAATAATAAGAAAAAAGGAGAATCGTATTTTTAATGGAAGCACGATTCTGGCTTTGGAGACTGAGAGAAATCGAGATTTCTCAGCACCGTGCAGAAAGAACACGGGGATCAGAGCCTGGCTGTAAACAGGAAGGCCGACACTCGCACGTAGGCGAATGCTTCCTCTTGGATGAGTTTCCAACAGAACAGGTCACAGCGCTGCTTCCCATGCGTGCAGGACGCAGGGCACAGAGCACAGACAAGGGCAGGCGATGTGCTGGCTGCTGCACTGTGGAACACTTCCAAAGCCCTTTGGCTTTTTGCTCCAGTTGGAGCGTGAAAATTAAAACGAAGCCTGCAGCTTTTTTCCATGAGCCAATCCATGGGTGAACGACACCACTGCAGCTCCCCTTGGCGCAGCCCTTCTGTCCCCCATCACTTGCCTGTCAGTCCGAGGAGCGTGGCTGGAGGGCAGCGGGACACACGGGTCACAGCAGCAGGGAAATCAGAACCGGAGCAGAAATCAGGGGGGAGAAAATAACAGTGGTGAAGGCCAACAGAACAGCCCCAATCCACGGGTTGAGGTGATCCGTGGGAGGCGGAGCTCACCTGCGGGCGAAGGGGAAGTTGATGGAGGTGCTGGCGGAGAAGTTGCGAGGGCTGTCCAAGGGGCTGCTCCCAGCTGTGAGGAGAGGGAGAACGGGGTTCATTGTGCCCCTGGCGTCCCCTCAGCCACCCCTCAGCCCTCTGGGAAAAGCCACTGAGTGCCCAGGCGGCGCCACAGGACCTCACCGGGGTGACCCTGCGCGGTGCTGAGCCCGGCCTCGGCATTCCCCTCACCTGTGGGCACTGAGAGCGGGGAGAGAGGGCGCGAGAGGGTTGGAGATGGAGTCCCCACCACCAGGCTCTTCCTGTTGCTGCTTCGGCAGCTGGAGAAGGGAAAAGGAAAAGCGATTCATTTGGGAAGTGGAAGGTGGGCAGGGCTGGGAGGCTTGGACGTGGGCAGCCCTGCTGCAGCTCATCCAGCTTGCAGCAAGGGGACACGGCTGCTGTCGCCACATCGATTACAGATCTCCTGCCCCCAGGAAGATCACAGCCCCAGCACAGCACAGGGCTGCTGGGGTTCGTTTTGGAGCCGAATCGTCTCAGCGAGGTCCCACTTCTGGTTTTCGCCCCCGGGGAGGAAAGATGCATGTGGGGCCGTTGGGCAAGAATAGAAAAAAGGATCTAAAAGGAGGAAGCGATGGAAATGCCAAGCTGCTCCGGGCCACGCCAGCCCTGCTGCACGGCATGGAAAATTCACTTTGCTGAGTGGGAATATCCCCGTGCAGGGCAGAATCTGAGGACAGCTTGTGTGCGCATGGGAGAGATGCGTGGGTTCTTAATGCCAGACCAAGGACGGATCCCCACGAAAACGTCAGCGCAGCCGAGAGCCGGGTGTGGGGCAATCGGCCACACTGCGGTGCGTGTGAGCGCCTCCTCCGGCTGTGAGCCCTGCACGGGGGGCGCTGAGCTGCGTGCCTGGGCTGGGCGCCCCACGGCTGCTGCCCAGAAAGGACAGGGACCAACGCCAGGCACAGGACAAACTCCACTCCGAGGGGTCCTGCGGGGGTCCCACAGACACGAGCCAGCGGCAGGAACGGCAGGGGGCAGATCTACGAGTGATACCAGCGCTGCTGGAGCAGCACAGGCAGCGAGGGGGGGTTCTGGCAGGAAAGGGTTGACTTCACCCTGCATTCAGAAGCGCTTTTTTGCATCCTCCCCTCAGTGCAGCAGCTCGAGCTCTTTTGCTCAGCCAGCGCGGGGAGCAGCTCGGTCTGCCCCTCCGTTTGCTTTTGATCTGCTCGTCCCCCTCCTGCAGAGGCTCCCCGGGGCCAGCAGCTGCCGGCACGGGCAGCCCCGCACGCTGCGCTCGGAGGTTTCATTTTGGAAGTGAAAACAAACCTTCGGCTAAGCGAGTTCCAGTAATGGTGACACAGGCAGAGGCTGCTGTTTCCTGTTTCCGCGCGCTCCACCCTCGCGCTGCAACAACCATCTTGCACCACCGCGCTGCCGATGCTCAAACCCAGCTGCTTCCCGGCCTCCCGGGCACAAAAGCAGGAGTTCCCAGTGGCAGGAGCCGAGGCTGTGCTCCAGCCCGTGCTGCCGGCAGTGCCTCCAGCACTAATGTGAGCTTGGTACATTTTTACCAAAAATGGAGTGGAAAATTGCAGTCAGCATCTCCAGAGCCACTGTGTGTGGGGACACTGAGCGCAGCATCCCCGCAGCCACCCCGGCCCCATCGCCATCCCAAACTGCCAAAGGATGTGGGGGGGAGGGTGACAGCAGCAGTGACATCCCGGCTCCCACGGTGCTCCCAGTGCTGTGAGGTGGCACTGCGATGTTTGTGGGGATGGGGAAAGCTATGGGGACAACACAGCGCGTTTGGGGACAGATCGGAGAGTCCGTGGATGGGCCCTTGCAGGACAGCAGGACATCGGAGCCAGAAGGCCCAAAGCACACAGAAAGACACACGGCCCTCGTGCTCTCCCTGCCCTGGGAGGAAAGATTCATTTCCAGTGAGACAAATTGCCTGCAACGCCAAACCAGGCAGCTGCACCCAATGTTTCTGCACCGCTGCCCAGCGTGATTTCATCTCCATGGCACGTTGGCTGCACCGAGCGGGGCTGCGTCCCGACATGGAGCTGCATGGGGGATGCAGAACGGGGCAACGTAACCCCACATCCTGGTTAGGAGTTTATTTCTCTACTGGCACTGAAATAAAACAGCCTAAAGAATTGGCCGTGCACCACAACGCAGATCTCTGCGTCCCTGTGCTGCTGTTCCCCGTCAGTAAATGTGGGTCCGGCCCACAGGTGTGCTCTCAGCACTGCAGCCCCCCGGTGCTCTCACCCCCACCAAATCACCCCCTGCACGTCCTGTCCTGCCTGCTGGAACACACAGCAGGCTGCTCCTCGATGTAGATTCTAGGAATCCCAATGAATGAAGAGCAAACCATCGGTGCCACGGGGCTGCATGGCACACACAGCCCTGCACCGCGCCGCCTGGCTCCGCTGAGCAACGGCACCGCGCTGCATCCCAGGCTGCGCTATGGGGCAGCACCATGGGAACACCTCCCCTCAGCCCCACGCCTGCTGAACGCCGCTTCTTGGTGTTGAGCTGTGGATTTCACAACAGCCTTGGCACCGGGACCCGACCCCAGCAGGGTGGTGATGCCCCCCTGCCTGCCCACGGCACCGTGGTACCTGCGGTGCCCCCAGCTCTGCAGCCGTTCCTTTAAATCTCGCAGGGCCTCGGGGTCCCTCACCCAGCTCCGAAGCGATGCCCCCCTTGCTGCTCTGCAGCGCTGTGCCTGACGCAGGCATCTCCCCTCCGCTGCACGCACAGCCCACCCCTCTGTGTGTAATGTGTCACTCAGGGCCCCAAGCCCTGCACCGCCGGGGCGCAAACCTCGGCACGACCCCCCGAAACCAGGCACCGTGGGGATGTGGAGCCCACTGCGACTCCCTTCCCCCTCATTCATCCCCAACCACAGACCCCCAAACAACACAGATTGCAGCGGCAGTGCAGACCCCTCCCCCGACACGATGCTCCCTTAGCAGCGCTCCCCGCCGCAAACCCCTCCCTCCAATCCACGCACCCTCCAAAGCAACCCCTGCTGCAACTCCCTCCAACCACGCACCCCAAAGCGCAATCCCCACAAACGACGCCCCCCCCAGCGCAACCTCTAGCGAATCCCCCCCCTCCAACACGCGTCCCCCGACGCTGCCCCGCGTACAACCCCCTCAACCTCTCACCCCCCTCCGCAACCCCTCCCCCAAACCGTCCACCCCCCCATGCCACCCCCCCACGACCTCGCAGCTCCGCTGCAGCCCTTCCCAAACGATCCACCCCCAAGGCGACCCGCGGCGCAGCTCCCCCCAAACGGCGCTCCTGGCCCCCCCCCGGCCCCCTGGTACCTCTTGGATCGCTGCAGCAAAGCCCCGGCCGTTCTCTGCCCCCGGCAGCCGCCGCCCGCCGCCCCCCAGCAGCTCGGATCCGACATCGCGGAGCCGGGAGCGCGCGGGGCCGCACCGGGGCCGCCTCCCGAGCCGAGCACGGCCCGACCCGCCCCGCCGCACCGGGGTTACCGTGGAAACGGGCGGCGGTTCGAAGAGGGGGGGGGAGGGGGAGTAGGGTCGCCATAGAAACGAGGCGGTTACCCCCCATCACCACCACCAAATGGGGTCAGGGTTGCCATGGAGATGGGGCAGCACCCCAAAATGGGGTCGGGTTGATGTAGAGGCAGGGCAGCACCCCGAAAGTGAGCTTTGGGTCACCATAGGAATGGGGCATCACCCTAAATGGGGTCAGAGTTACTCATACAGAGCATCACCCCAAAATGGGGTCCGGGTTACCATGGAGATGAGCATCACCCCAAAATGGAGATGCAGCCACCACTACCCCTGCATTACGGGACCACGCGTTCCCCAAAGCCAGTGCTGCTGGCCCCAAAGCTCACGTGTTGCTGCAGTGTGGGCAACCCTGGGGGGGCTCCCCAATGTGCCCCCGCTGCTCCTCACACAACGGGGCCGCCATGGGGGGCTTCACCCACACAGCCCCACACTCCCTCCTGGGCTGCAGCAGGGACACCCCACGCCAAGACCCAGTGACACAGATCCCGGTGCCCGGCCTCATTTTCCAGCTGTGAGCGGGTCAGGTGCCGATGCATCAGCAGCACGAACCCCACGTGGGACAGCATCACCAAACCGGGCTGAAAATCCCCCAAATCCCCACACTGATGGGGCCCAGCCTGCTGGGTGCCACCAACTCCATGTCCTCATCCCCACGCTGTCCCCACCACAAAGCACAGCGTGGCCCCAGCAGCCGCCCTGCCCCGAGCACAGTGCCACTGAGCCACGGTCACTGCAGCTACGGGACGGCCACCAAAGATCCCCTAAAGACGAGCACCCCATCCCACAGCAGGCTTCCTATGTGGGAGAAGGGCCTCACCCTCGCTCTGACCCCGTGCTGGGGGGCATTTTGAGGTTTTTCCCCAAGTGCAGCACGCTCAGAGGCTGAGCTCCAACTGCTGTGATGGCATTCACACGGAGTTCCCTCAAATGGAGCCATCAGTTGGAGGTCACCACGCACAATCTGCTTTTGGGGCATGCGAACTGCAGATGGACCCCGTCCACCTCTCCCAGTGTGCCCAGAAGAAGCTTCTGTCCCATTCAGGGTGGGAGTCTCATCTCTCTGCCCCGAGCAGGCAGGGTTTGGGGTCTTACCTCCATGGGTGCAGAGATAGCAGCGGGCTGCAGGGGCTGCAGGGGCTGCAGGGGCTCAGCAGCGTCGGGCTCTGGCTGCTCGGGGACAGGCTGCAAGGCAACGGTGTGAGCGGCACCCGGCACCTGGGGGCACGGCACAGCAGCAGCAATTCCCCTCCCGGGGCACCATCGGGAACGGGGGACAAAGAGCAAGGAGAGGGGAGAGAGCCGGAAGGGAGACGTTGTGGGCAGGGCTGAAGGGGGCACAGACTGGGGGCGAGGGCTGGGGATGCGGGAGGGCAGACGCCACGGCGGGCGGGAAAGCTGGGGATGCTCGGGATGAGGGGACGCCCAGGGGATGGGGGGGTTGGGACGGGGGGATGCGGGGATGCTCAGCACGCGGGATGTGGGGATGTTGGCGATGCGGGGATGCCGCTGCCGCCATCAGCCCGAGCCCGGCGCCGCCGGCAGCCCCTTCCCGACTCACTCCAAGGTCAGCGCGGGGATCTTCAGCCGCTCCCGCCGCGCCTTCATGCCGCCGCCGCCGCTCCGCTCCGCTCCGCCCGTCGCACCGGCAGCCCCCGCGCTGGGCGGCTCCAACGGGCGGCGGCAGCGGCGGCACCGCCGGGAGCGGAGCTCGGCCCGCCGGGCACGGACCCGCCCCTGCAGATCGGTACGGCTCGGCACGGCTCGGCACGGCTCCGTACAGCTCGGCACGGCTCGGCACGGCTCGGCACGGCTCTGCACCGCGCGGCACAGCAGCCCCCAGCTCCCAGCACAGACCGGACGGCGCAGAAGCTGCTCGGGGCCACTCCGCTCCCGGGCTTTGCCTGGGCACAGAGCAGCACCGTTGCAGGACGGCCCAGTACAGCACCAGCTCCTATAACGGCCCCAGCGCCCCCTCCAGCGCACCCCTGGCACAGCAACCGTGTGCCCCACAGCCCCAAAGAGGCATTGCAGCAGCGGTGCACCCCCTCATCACCCCACAGTGCCCCGAACAGCCTCAGCACAGCTTCAGGATCGGCTCCTGCCGCACGCCGGTGCACCCCAATACACCACGGAACGTCCCAACGCACTGCGGCAGCACAGCTCGCCCCAGTACACTCCAGTAGTGCCCAGTACACCCTTACACACACGTATCACATCTCTTTGGCATCAGAAAGCACGGTGATCCCACTCCGGGTTTGGGCACGGCGAGACCTGGCCACCCCAAGGTGGCATCCAGCTGAGCCCTGCAGGCGGCAGTGCGGCCCCAGGCGCAGCCCTCCCGGTGACGCCACCGTCCCACGCGGCGCAGCTCGGCAGACTTACGCTCTCCCTCGGCGCGGCAGGCTCAGCTCCTTCTGCAACGAGAAAAGCAACGAGCGGGGTCAGGGCTGCCACCACTGCACCGCAGGGACCATCCCCACCGAGGGGTCAGCACGGGGGGGGCAGCTGCTCCTCAGCGCCCTGCACTGGTGGCTGCGTGGCCAGGCCTCGAGGACAGGAGACGACAGCCGCAGGGTGATGGCTGTGCCCCCATCCCCGTCCCTGCCCCCCGTCCCACAGACTCGGCCGTGGGCAGCAGCCGGCGCCCCGCACGCTGTTTATTTTTCCAGCCGATGGGAAGATCTCTGGTGGAAGCTGTTTGCTTGCAGGTGGCACGAGGGGCAAAGGGCAGCGGTGCAGCACAGCAGCCTCCGTGCAGCAGGGACCGAGCGCCCACCCGTGTGCCACCCAGCAGAGGAGCCGTGGGTGCCGGCGGGCAGCGCGTGCCGTGGTGACTGCGGGACGGAGGCGCACGTGGTGGCCGCACGTGCTGCTGACGCCCATCACTGCCCCGATCTGTGCCCACCGGCCCCGTACCCCTAAGCAGCTTAACCGCATTCCCCTCCTGGCAGCGCCCATGGGTGGAGGCTGTGTGAGCTGCTGCTGTCACTCCTGCACCCCACGCAGCCGGGGTACCCGCGCCCCGTCCCGCTGCCCCCACGGAAATCCCTGGGTTGGGGCTCGCAGCAACACAGTGATGCAGCAGCGTTGCCGTGACAACGGGTGACATCACGCCCCGATGCACAGCGATTCGGCAGCGGGGGCCCGTGGGTGCTGGGGGCGGCGGGGGGGTGCGTGGTACCGGGGTGGGCGCACGGTGTCGGTGCCCTGGAGCAGCACTGTGACCCCACGGCCGGGTGCTGGGTCCCCGCACGGAGCGGAAGCTCCCCCAGCACCCTCACCCCGCTGTCCCTCGGCTGAGATCCCCATCCTCACCCAGGGCCACGCCATCGGCTGCTGGGACAGCGCTGGCACTGGGGACGGCACTGGGGGCGGCACTTCTGCCCGATGCGTTGGGACAACCGTCCCCACCTGCTGCAGGGAGCTGAACCCACGGCCGCGGGGCTGCTCCCCCCAGGGACCACCCGAGAGCAGCGCTGTGGCTGCCGTGGTGCTGCGGTTGCTGTGGGGTCCCTTCCCCCCACCGCCCCCCACTGCAGCAGCACGCAGCACAGCGCGGCGCCCCGGGGAGCTGCCAGCTCGGATGAAGGCAGCTTCGTACCGCGCTCCAACCGCACCGACAGCTCGGGACGGCCCGCGGGGGGCAGCGCTCCGTTTTGCAGATGGGGACGGAGTTGTGAGGTCACCCGGAAAATCGGCGCAGAGCTTCGGGCTCAGCGTGAGCCCCCGCTGCGGCCGCCTGCCTGCCCTCCGACAGGGGCGGCGGGGATCTGGGGGTGTGGGAGAAGGACAGGCGGGGGGGTTGGGGGGCCGGAGCCCCTAGGGGTGCGCAGTGGGGCTGGGGGTTGCAAACCCTCACGGCCGTGGTTGGGCAAAGATTGGGCATCGCTGGGATGGGGGTCCCGCGCTGCTCCCACGGAGCCCCCGGCAGAGCCCCGCACACGGTCCTGTGCCCCCCGGCACCCACAGCCGGGATCCTCTCCCACAGCCGGCACCGCACCCCAATCCCACCCGCAGCACCGCTCCTCGCATGCACGGCAGCCCCCTCTCCCGCACACACGGCTCCCGCTCGCACACGCACTCACCGAGCATCCACCCTTCTCGCACCCACATCCAACACGCACACACACGCACACACCCGCCCTCCGGCACCCACCCCGCGCCCACCCGCCCCGCGCAGCTCCGCGCCGCTCACCTGCAGCCCCCTCCGCCGCAGGATGCTGGGCTCGTCCATTCCGCCGCGCCGCGCCGCCGCCTCCCGCTGCTCCCGCTCCGCCCGGTGCTCCCGGTGCGCCGCCCAGCGGCCCCGGCACGGCGCGGCACGGCACGGGGGTGGCTGGGAGCGGGGCGGGCGGCGCGGTGGTCCCTTCCTCCCTGATGGCCCGGCACAGTAAGGGCTGAGCCACGTCCGGCACGGCGCAGGTCAGCATGGCACGGCGTGGTGCGGCTGTGGCGTGGCCTGGCCTGGTTTGGCACGGCACTGCATGGCAAGGCACAGCTTAGTTTGGCACAACACGGAACAGCACAGCTTGGTTTGGAGCAGCGTGGCACGGCATGGCACAGCTTCATTTGGCATGGCACAGCTTGGTTTGGTGTGGTGAATGGCACAGCTCAGTTTGGCACGACACCCCCAGCGCAGCACGGCTTCATTTGGCACAGCGTGGCACGGCACGGCGTGGTTTGGCACAGCACGCTGCTCCAAGAGCCACGGGGCTGAGCGTGCGCCCACGGCGGTGGGCTGAGGGGTCACAGCCGCCCCTGCACGGCGCTCCACCACCGCCGCCGCGCCGTCCCCACGAGGAGCGGCGCACAAGGGGACATTTTCTGCGGGGACAACGGCGCTCTGTGCGCGGTGCCACCCGGCTCTGCCGCCCGCGATCACACGGCGCCCGGTGACGCCATGTCCTGTGCCTCAGTGGGGCTTTGTTGTGACCTCGAGGGGGGGACGATGTGCGCTGGGGGCCGGAGGGTTCTGCCCGGACATGCGGCCCCGCGCTGGGAGCAGCCCCGACCTCGCAGCTCCTGATTCACCAAATACGGGCAGCGCATCAAAGCCACGACGTGCAGGTTGCCAAAAAAAGAAAAAGGAAAAAAGAAAAAGCAGCGCAACACAACACCTCTTTTGCTTACCTTGCTTTTCTGGCAGCGTCGGGGCGGGTGTGCGGGCACAGCGGGGGACATCAACGCTGCTTTCTCTTTTGGTTTTGGTCCAAGAGAAGCACGCGCCAACACCGGCAACGGCCGCGCTCAGCAGCAGAGGAAGCGGCAGTGGGGGCAGAGCCGGGGGCAGCGGGACCCTGCGGGGGGGGCGCGGTGAGGATGGAGCGCGAAGGGGTCCCGGCGCTGCGGTGGCTGCTGCTGGCGCTGGCGCTGCCGGCGCGGGGCGGTGAGTGCTGCCGCGATGGGAGATAAACGCAGAGGGTTTCGCTGAGCGATACGGGGTGATAAGGGAAGGGAGTGGAGCAGGGAGCTTTCATGGCAGCGGACGGAGGTGTTCCGGGCACGGTGCTGGGGCTGCGGGCAGCGGGATGGGGTCTGGATGGTGCTGGCGGGCAAAGCTGCGTGGCATCCATGGGAGAAGAGGGCTTTTTGGGAATCACTGCACGACTGCCGTTGTCTCTCTGCCCCACTGCGCGGCGCAGCACTGCCTGCAGCACGCGGCCGTCCCGGTGCCGGGGGCCCACAGCCCCACTGCCGGCTGAGCCCGCCCGCCCTCTGCACGGCCTCCGAGCCACGTCCAGCCGCTGTGGGTCATGTGGAGTCGCAGTGGTACCGGGGGCTGGAGGGGGCCCTGCAGGGAGCTGGGAGATGGAGCACCTCTGGCCCCAGCCCCCCTCCCCATCCCCATGACCCCAGGTCAAGCAAGCTCCACTACCCCAAGCCCCCAAGAGCCCGGGTGTGATTCCCTACACACAGGTGCCCCCGATCCCCCCCCCGGGCTCTCCTGCTTCAGGCGCTGCAGCTCCGGCCCCTTCACCTGCTCCTGGCCGCCCCAGGGCCCCGCCGGCAGCACCACCTACGTCCTCGTGCTCTGGTGAGTTGGGGACACCGTGTCCATCAGGAGCACACAGGGGACACTCGGGGCCACAGGGGACACGGAGCCACTGCTGTACACCACGGCTGAGCGCTTTCCCTGCAGTTATGTGAGCCGGCAGCTGTGCCAGCAGCACGACGCGGGCACGGCCACGGTGCGCACCCTGAAGCAGCACCAAGTTTATGTCCGTACCAACACCACGGCCTGGGTGGAGGCGCGCTGGGGACAGCATCTGGAGCGCAGCCCCAACATCACGCTGCACCTCGACGAGGCCGGTGAGTGCTGGGGACCAGGCAGGGCGGCGAGCTGCAGTGGTCACCACAGCTGTGCTGTCCCCGCAGTGAAGCTGGATCCCCCTTCCCATGGGACATCCTTCACTAAGGCCAATGGGCGCCTGGAGCTGAGGCTGCCGCGGCCGCAGTGTCACCACAAGGAGCGGCCGCCGCCACGCAGGGAGGCTCGATTCCGCCGGGTGGGTGATGGCAGCTGGATGCAGGTGAGGGGACCAAAGAGATCCCCCAACCACCACGTCCCCTGCACCTCGGTCAGCATCACCGTCACCCGGTGGCCGGTGCCACCGTTCTCTCCGCAGGTGATGTGTGAGACAGGGAAGGGTGAGGATGAAGATGACCCAGGTCTGTTTTGCCCCATGCTCAGGGTTGGGGTGGGGGGACAAACTCATCCTGAGAGGGGTCACCTCACCACCACCGACCCGGTGCTCTGCAGTGACCTGCGAGCTGGGGGGAACCGCTGCCTTCGAGGTGCAGCTCCGGCACAGGACGCAGCACTGGAGCAGCCACTGGAGTGACTGGAGCCCATCCATCTTCATCCCCGAGGGTGAGTGCGACGCCAGGAGGGACCCCACATCCCTGCACCTGGCCGGCACGCACCTGGGTGAGCGCATCGCTCCTCTCGCAGAGATCCTGGAGAGCCCCGCACTGAGCTTCAGGCTGGGACACCTCGGGAGAAACGGGCAGAGGCTGCTACAGCTGGGCTGGCAGGTGGGCAGGTGGGCGCACTGCTGGGACGGCTCCGTGTCCTGCAGGCATCCCACAGCACTGCCACCGCTGTCCCCACACAGCGCGCCCGCGCGGCACAGGGGGACGTCAGCTACACCCTGCGTGCCCACATGCCGGAGTGCAGCTGCGCCGAGGAGGACGAGGTGGTGCTGGGGGCAGAGGAGACAGAGTACAACCTCACGCTCTGCGGGGCTGCATACGAGATCGTGCTGACGGCCACCAACGCCGCAGGAAGCAGCCCTGCACGGCGGCTGCAGGTGCCGGCGGAGCAGCACACGGGTACCCAAAAAGGCCACAGAAAAGACGAGGCTCCTCGGCCCGGCACCACCCTCACCTCTCTGCTCCCCGTGTTTTGCCCCAGAGCTCAGCTTCCAGAACATCAGCTCTGTGGGCACCATGGTGATCGCACGCTGGGAGGCGCCAACGCGAGGCTTCGCCTTCTGCTCCGAGCGGCAGCGGACGCCGGGAGCCCCACAGCCGGGGCGCTGCGTGCAGGAGGAGTTCCTCGCACGCAGCTCCCACTGGCAGGCAGGCACGGCAGCCCCGAGCCCCAGCGCCCTCCTGCTGGCTGCGGCCACGCGGTGACGGTGCCGCTCCTCACGTAGGGCCGCTGGAAGCGCCGGCGTGTTACCGGCTCGCCGTGCACGGCCGCGGCGCAGAGCAGGACTGGGCCACCTTCGCTCTGCAGCATCACTTCGTCGGCAACAGTACGTAGGGAGCGGGGACATCGCAACCCCCCGGTGCCGCGCAGGGGGCCGGCCGGACCCTCAACATCCGCTCCCACCCCACGCAGCCTCGTTGGCCGCCTCTGTCCGCATCAACGCCAGCGCCGATGCCGCCGTGCTGCTCTGGGAGCCGTCCCTACGCGCTGCTTGCCCCGGCGCGCTGCTGGGGTACCGCGTGTGCCACGCTGCTGAAGGGGACAACGTGACATGTGAGTGGTGGCACCGCTGCCAGGAGGGTGGGGGGGACCGAGGGAGGGCGGCTCTGCGCACTGCTGCCCACGCCGTGTCACTTACAGATGGCGACGTGGACGCATCAGCATCGCGATACGCGCTGCGAGACCTGAAACCAGGCACCGCCTACAGGGTGGGCATCCAGGAGGTGGCGGCGGGCGGCGGGGGCACCTGCAGTGCCCGGTGGCACTTCCAGACCACGGCGCTGGGTAACGGTGGGGGACCTCCTCCCTTTCTCATGGGGACCTTCCTGTGTCCCATTGGGCACAGGGACGCGGGGCCGGGATGTCACCATCACCCAGAGGTGCTCATCTCCAGGTGGAGCGGTGTGGAGCTCCAACCTGAAGTACCTGGGCATCTCGCTGGGGATCCCAGCTGCCGCCCTCATCTACCAGCTGAGCAAGAAGAGGTGAGAACAGGCACAATGACGGTTCCTCCGTGCCCCTCTCCCCCCGCATTGACCCCACTGCCATCTCCCCAGGCTCCACGGGATGCTCTTCCCTCCCCTGCCCAAACCCACCGGCAGTGAAGCCCTCCGGTTCTCAGCCAGTGAGATGAGCCAGGTGAGCTGCAGTGTGCGCCCTGGGATGAGCTGTGAGGCCGAGACCTCCCAGCACAGTGCTTCTTCTCCCCAACAGAACAAGCCCTGGAAGAGCTTCCTGGAGCCCTCGGAGCAGCTCAGCCCCGGGGAGTTGCTGGTAATGGAGCTGAGCCCTGAAAATGAGGCAGCCGCCAGCACGCGGCCCCACACAGCACAGCTCAGCCCCGAAGAACCGATGGAGCCACTGCAGCCACACTGCAAGGTGGAGCTGCCCTTCACGTACCGGCGGCAGGAGGTGCTGGACCCGGAGCCAGGGGGGTCAGGGGGGCTGGGGGAGGTCCCCACCTGTGGCCCCACAGCTGCAGAGGAGGGCGCAGGGAGCTGGGGGCTGAGCCAGGCGCTGCCACCTCTTGTGCTGCTCAAACCCATCTCCCCACAGGATCAGGAGGGTGTGGGGCTGCTGCAGGAGAAGGCGGTGCCTTAGGGATCCCAGGGATGGGGGACAAAGCGGGTCCCTCAGACAGCGAGGGGGTGATGCTGAGGGAACATTGCTGCATTGCACAGGGCCGGGACCCAGTGAGGCACAGTGCAGCCCAAAATAATGAGGGCAGGAGGCTGCGGGCTCAGCTCCCCCTACGGGGGTGGGGATGTTTCCTTGGGCACGAGGAAGCTGCTTTGGGAGCACATCAGAGTGAAGACTGCATCCCTGCCCCCGCGGGATGGGGGCACAGCCAAGCCCAGCGCCGAGCACTGAAACACCAGAGTGTAGAAGTAAAGAAAACCAAACAGCAGCACCGCTGTGCTCTCCTTGTCCCACCCGGGTCGGGGAACTCCGGGGTTTGCTGTTGGGCCCCCAAGCAGTGGGGTGAGACACCTGGGGCTGCGCCGTGTGCCGTATCTGGGGCAGAACTTTCGGCAGCGGTTTGTGGTCCGTCTGCCCCACACCGAGGTGTAGGCGGCCTCCGGTGGGTGCTGAGAGAGCAAAAATTAACGCTGAGGAAACAGAAAAAGGGTTCAAGAGGCAAGAGGGAGATGTGGGCAGAGGCAGCGTCCCCCGGTCCCGCCACACGAGGGGTTTCCTCCCCTTCGGCTGCTGCTCGGAGCACCCCGGGCTGCGGAGGTCCCCGCGTTTTGGGGCGCTCCGTCGTGTCCGCCGTCACCGCGTCGGAGCCACCAACGGGACCACGAGGTGGCAGCAGCCCCGCGCTCCCCTCCCGCAGCCTCTCGCCGCCATCGTCGCACAAACCGACCCCAACCGAACCCCCACCGCGAACATCCCAACCCCGCGGGGTTTTGGGGCAGCACAGCACATCCCCGCCGCACGGCGCTGACCCTTCCCCGGTCCTGTCGCAGCGCTGCAGCCCCGCTCCGTCCCCTCCAAACCCAAAGCGGTGGGGCTGAGGAGGAGGACGGGCAGCCAGCAGCCTCTCGCCCTCCACGGCGTTTCTTTTTAGGGTTTTGGTTGCGACGGACCCAACTCGCAGCGCACCCGGCGGCGGTGCTCATCGCTGCTCGCAGAGGAAGTGCTGCGTTACGGGAGCGCAGCGCTCGGGTTGCAGCCCGGCTGCTGTTTACAGCCCAACTTTTAGGGTCACGGCTCGGGCCGAGCACATGGCCCGGCACGGGGCCAGGACACGGGAATCCGACAGCGAGACTGTGGCAGGACAGCAAGTCCCCGGCACCGTCTGAAAAACACCCCAAGGGGGGGCGGTGGGGGCAGGGGTTCTCTCCGTGCCCGCGGGGTCACCATCCCGTCGTGCCCCTTTGGGGACAGCCCCGTCCCGAGCGGCACGGTGACACCGTGCACCCACAGAGCCCGGAGGCACCGAGCAAGGGAAAATTAATGAAGCCTCGCGTGATGCCAATTAGCACGAATGAGCGGCTCAGGCTTCCCTAATGAGTTTAAACGGCACAGAACTATTTTCCAAAAGAGTTTCCGGGAGCGGCCGTGCAGGCGGCGATCCGAGCACGGCCACGGGAGCGGCACAGGGACGGGAACGGCTGCAAGGACACAGCATCGGCCGCACCGACACGGCGCACCGCCCGGACACACTGCGGCATCGGCCGCGTGCGGGCTGAGAACGGGCAGCTCATCACACGGGAGCGTGGGACTCCTCCCAGGCGGATGAGGATCGAAAGTCATCCTTCAGGAATGGGGAAAATCCCGCAGGAATGGGGAAAAAGCTCAGGCCGACACAGCAGCCCCAAAGGCGCCCCAAAGCCGCCGCCGCCGCCCCCTGCGTCGGGTCGGAGCTTTTCCTTCTCACAACGGATCCGAGGAGCCGACGAGCCGCACACCGCGTGCCCCGACGTCCCGAGCCGCGCCAATTCCGGCCCCGCCGCCGTTATTTTTGGAGCAGGCCGCACCGCGCCGCGCTCTTCCCGGTGCCGGCCGTGGGAGCTCCGCACATCGCCGTTCCCAGCGCTGCCCCAATGCGGAGCCCCGCCCGCACTCACGGCGGTGCGTTTCCCATCCCCCCGTCCTTCCTCCCCCAACCCCGGGGCGTTGCAGCCCCCACTGCGGCACCGTGCTGAGGAAGCGGCAAACCCCGCAGTTCCGGAGCTGCACCCCCCCAAAAAACCCAACCTCGTAGGGTCCCCAAACCCCCCGCTCCAAAACGGCCCCGGGCGCTGCTGGGCGCGCACCGAGGGGTGCAACGGGGCGGAGAAGCGGCCGCGCGCGGTGCAGTTTTGCAGCTCCGGGTGTTTCGGCGCTGCGTTTCGCAACCGACGACAACAGCAGCTCCGCTCTTTGCACGCTCACACACGCACACACTCACACTCACTCACACACACTGCGCAGCGCTGCTGTTTTCTCGCGCTCGCTCCTCAGGATGAGGTTTTTCTTTGCCACGAGCGACGGAATGGAAACCGTCTCTGGTCACGGCTGCGCTTTGGGGGCGGTCGGGGCCGGGGGGGCCGCGCGGTGCCCGGAGCTCTGCGGGCTTTAGCAGCGGTGGAGCGGAACCGACGCCCCGAAACGGGTCAGCGAGGACAACGGCGGTGCGGGACGCCGAAAACAGCGCCGGGTTGGGCAGCAAATCTCAGCGGCTGCACGGCGCCGAGTCCGCAGCAAACAACCCGACACCCGCGGGTCCTCCTGCTCTGCCCGCGGGGCGCTCCTCCCCAGCGCTCTCCCTGTTTGTCTCTCTGAGAACCACAAGAAAGCGGAGCAAACCGCGCTGCCGCCGGCCACAACCAGCGCGGCCCGGCCCCGACGGGACGGCCGCATCACACGGCTGCTTATCAGGAAAGTCCTCTCCCTCAGCGCGCTGTAAACCCTCTGACATCACGGCAATGGGGATCACGCTTGCTGGCGAGCCGGGCAGCAGCCGCGGGCTCCGTGGGGTCGGGGTGTAACCACGGGCTGCGGGTGGGCCGAGGGGTTCAATGGGACAAATCCACCCCCCGGGCCCCCTGTCCATCGACAGAGCAGAGCAGCTGTTTGCTTGGACTCACGGCTCTGCGGGGACAGGAGACAAACGCGGTGACGGCCCCCACCTGTGTGACCCTTCGGCTCCGTTCCCTGATGTCCTTCAGAACTAAAAGCCGAACTGCCAAAATGCAAGTGTGAGGCAGCTCTGAGATCTGGCAGGGAGAAGAACAGCACAGCAGTGGGGGCTTTGTGCAAAGGGACCAGCAGGAGCGATGTCACCACGTGTCACACCCCAGCTATGGGCACGGGGGTCCCCGCACTGCCCATCACGTGCTGCCAGCATGTGAACACACGGCTTCTCCTCCTTGCCGTCGTTGTTGTTTTTCTGGACCTGGCCCTCCAGCAAGGAGAGTCAAAATATTTGTCCCCGTGTTTGTGCCTGCAGGGAAGGAGCTGGGGATGCGGGGGGGGGGGAGGTGGGGGGTCCTCTCCACCACCCACAGCCCCGGCCCCGCGGCCGCTGTTTACCCATAGACATGTTTGTGAGCCGCTTCCCTGCTCTGAAATCATTGGACAAAAGTCAAAAGCCGTAAAAATTTTCCATTATCCACAAGAGGGGCTGCTTTCCTGCCGGGGTTGTGACACACAGCACACACCAGCAGACCCTCGGAGGCGCTGTGCGCCCGTCTGTCCGTCCGTCCGCTCCAGGCCTCCCTCTGTGCAGAACGCAGCGCTGGCTCTGTGCGATCTCTCCCCACTGCGGGCAGCCGTTGCCCCGGAGCAGTGCAGGAGGAGCAGTCGTTCCTGTGCAACCCGCACAGGGATTCCCCAAATCCCTCACGCAGGGCGGTGTGAGCAGGGCTGCGCATCTGTTTAGGTGGGCAGCAGTGGCTCCGGTGTCCCCACGTGAAAGGGTCCTCAGGGATCAGATTTTGCAGCACTGGAGCAAAAACAGTGAAAATAATGGAGGTAATGATGGGGTTGGGGGAGCGGGGGGGGGCAGTCCCACTGCTGGCCCTGTATCTCGCAGGCTCGCACCCATCAGGGTGCAAACCCAGCCGTATCCCAGCTGTCCGACCCCATCCACGCTGGAGCTCCCACCACGTGGCTCCCAACACGCACAGCTGGGAGGTGGTGGAGGAAGAGCTGTTTTCCCGGAGCTGGATGGATGCCCGCGCTGTTAATCCGCAGCCCTCGGAGCACATTCTGTCCCTGCCAGCGCCGCCGCCGGCACGGGGGGGGGGGGGAGGGGAACCGACCCTGGGAAGGATGCGGCGGCTCAGGGCCACCCATGGGTGCACAGCATGCCGTGGCCTTCTGCAAGTGGCACCGGAGCGGAGCGGGGACGCAGCAGACAGACGGCAGCACGGAGGCTCTGGGCTGCGGGAGAAGGGCTTTGGAGCCGAGGCTGCAGAGCAGGGGATGCCAGCTCTGTCCCTGGGGGTATTTTTAGCCCTTCCGGGACTGGAGGACTTGTAAAGCCATCGCTGCGGCTTTCCAAGGAAGCCCTGAGGCTGTTACAAGAAGAGTTGCTGGAAAGATGGCTCCAGGGAGAAGCAGAGCACCGGGGGTGTGCATCTGCAAGCGTCATCACCATGAAGCATCTCCATCCTTGTCCCGAGGGGAGGCGAAGCAAAGGGAGGTTTGGGTAAAGGTGCATGGAGCACCTGTGGGTCCTGCGTGGCAGCGCTGGCACGGGGTGCAGCTCTGAACACTGAGCAAGGTCCAAAAAGCAAGAAAGGAAATGAAAACCCAAACAGAAAAGAAACATACAGAAGAAAAATACACACACAAAAAAAGGAAAACAAACAAAAAAAGAAGAAAAACAAACGAAACCAGGGGGAAAAGTCACATTCCAGCAGCAGTGTTTGTCACAGCACAGCCCTGGAGGACACTGTGGAACTCAGCCCCGTTTCAGACCTCAGCCCCACTTCAGACCCTCTGAGATCTGCTGTGCTCAGCAGGCACGGGGTGCAGAAGTGCAGCAAACCCGAAGCTCACTGTGAGCACAGTGGGCGCAGGAGCTGCACGACGGGGAACATCAACACTGCAGAAGCCGACGGGTGCTGCCATGGGGGTGGAAGGGGATGAGGCCACACGGAAGAGGAACAGTGGCACATAGCAGAGCAGCGCGCTGCTGAGCTCCGGGAAAGGGGAAGCAGCACTGGGGCACGCACCCAGCGTGACTCCAAATGCAAAAGCTGAGAGCTGCAGTTGGTTAAAAGAAATTTATTTCAGAGAAATCACCCCAACTGAAGTTGTACGAAAAGAGAAACGTCAGAGACAAAGAGTGGTCGGTATAAAAGTGGTCACTGATACAAACAATAGAAAATCCTCTGAGCAATGCCCAGCACCGGGGCTGGGGCTCTGCACAGGGGTCGGGGGGAACGCAGTCTCTGGTGGCTGCCCTGGAGGACCCACTCCAGCTTTTTTTCTTGTTTCCTCGGCCAACAAAGCACTGTGAGGGGCCACGTCTGTGCCACCCTGCAGGAGCGGCACCGAAACACCACCGCAGATCTCTGCTGCTTTGGGAATTACACAGCCCCAATGTTGGCCACGGGGGGCTCTGCAGCCCCCACCCAGCTGCCAGGCAGCTCCAGCCACCCCTGCAGCAGCTCCCGGCTCCCAGCCGTGCTCACCAGCAGCACAGTCTGCCTCACCCGGCCAGTTTTCTCCTTAGGAAACTGCAGTTCTGGAGAAGCAACTGCAGCAGCAGAGCTGCACCCGCAGCACCGCGGGGTCCAAACCCAGCACAGGATTTAAACATTCTCTGGATTCCCTGCAACACCTCCGAGCTCAAAGCTCTCCACAGCAGGAGGTGCTGGAGCACACATAGAGGAGCATCATCCCAGCTCCATCCGAACCCCAAAACGCTGGGGCGGTTCCAGCCCTTCAGACCCACAGGGCAGTGCCTGTGGTGGGGGCTCAGCGCTCTCACGCACCCACTGCCATCCTGCGGGCGCTCTGACTGCAGCCCAACGGTCACGATGCCATCAGCACTGCTCAGCAGGTCATGCAGCGCGGGCGGATGCCGTCTGAAGGTGGGTTCGGGTCGATCTGCAAAGCCAAACCCAGAGTCAGGACCCCCGGCAGCAGTGGGTGCATCACCCTGCACCACCCGCACGGCTCCTCACCTCAGAGTAGAGCGGAGGCGGTCGGAAGCGGAACTCCTGGATGTAGGCGAAGAAGGGCCCTTCCAGAACAGCCCCCAGCTCGCTGCGGCACGGCGGGGCCAGGCTCTGCTCGGCTGTGGGGCTGGGCACCACCGCTGAGTAATCAGGGGGGGCTGAAGAGAAGAAAGAAAAGCATCGAGGAATGGGGAACGTGCAGCTGAAGCGGCTTCAAACGTGCCGTTCCCCGATTCGTCGAGGCTGAAAACATGCCCTGCCCTCTGCTCACCTTCAGGCTGCTCAGGGATGCTGCTCAGCCAGTCCAGGGTGATGCTGTACTGACTGCTGACGCTGGACGTGCGGCTGCCAAACGGATGCAGTGGGATCGTCCCGATGACGAGCGGCAGCTCCAGGAGCAGCTTGGATGTGCCAGGAATATCCACACAGACCTGCAGGCAGTGGGGGGAACTCAGCTGTTGCGTTACTCCCACAGAGGGGCAGAGCTTTCCCGGGTGAAGGGAAGAAGGGAATTCTTGCAGTGGGACACGCAGGGAGACGCTCAGCACAAGACATGGCACAGAGCACCAACCTTGATAAGCACAGCTTTGGGAAGACGGGAACACCCAGCAGAGAGCTGAGCCGCACCGCGGTCCCCACGCAGCCCTCACCTTCAGGGCATATTCCACTTGGATGACGCGGCACTGCAGGATGGACGGCCCCACCGGAGGGATCTTCAGCGCCCGCCCGTGCCACACCTCGCGCTTCCCCGCAGCGATGGAGTCCCCGACGATGCTGGTCACCACTGACTTCTTCTGCTTCTTGGTGCCCCGAGCGATGAAGGTCTGAGTCTGAATGATGGCTGCTTTGGGCACCACCGCCCGGTTGGTGCAGTTGTCAATCTCAGCAAAGATAGGGATGACCTCACCTGCCGAGCAGACGCACATGTTGCAGACGGAGCCCAGTCCTGCCCCGAGGAATTCCTGCACGGGGGTCACCGGGGGTTCATCTGCCCGTTGGCACAGCGGGGACGAGCAGGTGACCCCAAGTCCCCTCCAGCCAAAGTTCACCCTGGGCGCCCGAGGGAGGTGCTCACCGGGGGTGTAGCCTTTGCGGTCGATCTTGGCAGTCACTGAGACCTGGCCACGATTGCAGTACCAGGCGCGGGCGAGTTTCTCCTTAGCACCCGCCTGGGGAGCCTGAAAAAAGGGACGGGCAGAGGCTGCTCAGAAAGGAACAATAAAACACAAGGCAAGCGCTTCCCTGGCACAGCCAACCTGCTGGGGAGCAGCACCGGCTCCTAGGAGCCTTATGCAAGATGCTGTTGCAATGCATTCCAGCTCCCGAAAAGCAGGAGGTGCAGCAGCCTCTGCACTCCTGGCGCCCATCCCCGCCGCATGGCGCACCCCTGACAAGCTCTGCTCGGGCACGGGGGCTCACCAGCAGCGCAGGGGTGTTGATGTCGATGGGTTCGATGACGGTGAACTCCTTCTTCACCTTTTTCACCGTGGCCCACGGCCGGTGCAGCTTGGCCTTCACCCAGTAGCGCACGCTGCCGTGTTTGCCCTCGAAGGACGTCGCCAGGGTCCTGGAAGCGAGAAGGAGTGACTGCGAGGGCTCTGCTTGCAGGTTTGTGGCGGAGCTGCCGTGCTCCCAGCAGCGGCTCTTCCCCTCTGTGTTAAGGAAACCATGAACTTACTCTGGGAGCTGGAAGGTGAAGGGGAACTCGTGCCTTCCTGCCTGCAGGACGGTGACTTCGCCGTTATCTGCGGGCAGAACAGACGGAGGGCGATTATCTCCCACCCGCGGGGCTCCGCGCCGGGATGGAGCACACGAAGGGGACGGGATCCTTCTGCCGGGGCTGCACCGCCAAACCGCCACAACGCGCCCCGCAACCCCACCCCGCTCAGCACGGGGTCCCGCAGCCCACCCGGCCGGGGGAGGCACGGCGGGGATCCCCACTGGGTGCGGGGTGCCGGGCCGGGGGCGCGCGGGGGACTCGGAGCCCGCAGCCGTACCTGGCGGGGCCAGCAGCGTGTCGCGGTGGCTGAGGAACTCCACCTGATCGCTGTAGCTCTGCGTGTAAGCGGTGCTGGAACCGGCGCTGCGCGATTCGGTCCAGTGGACGCGGGCGGCTCCGAGCGCCCGCAACCGGAGCGCCCCGCAGCGCGCGGCCCCCGCCAGCTCCAGCACCACGCGCCCCACCACCGTCTGCCCCGGGCTGAAGGCGGCCGGCGATCCCCGCTCCGCGCCCTCCAGCACGATCAGGAAGCGCTTGAGGCGATCGAACAGCATGGCGAGAGATGGCGGCTCCAACAACTCGCCCCGCCGCCGCCCAGCGCCGCTTTAAGTGCCCGGCGCGCCCCGGGGGCGGCCCCGGCGGGGCGGGACGGGACGGGACGGGGCGGCCCCGGCAGGCGCCGCAAAACAACGCAACGAGCATGTGCGGGCGGAACGGCCCCCCTCCCCCCCCCTCCCAGGGCTTCCTCGGACCTGCAGCCGTCCGGTGCCCGTCGCTGCGGAGCCTCGGGACCCGCTCACCCCCGTGGCGGTGCGGTGGGGACCCCACGACATGGGGGTGCGCGCCCCAAGGATGAACCCCTCGGGGCGGGAGCCGCACCCCTCCGCGGCCTCCCTCCCGTCCCCGCCGGGATCCCGACGCCCCACGGCTCTGCTCGCCCCGCGCCCGCAGCGCTGCACGTGCGGGGACCCCGCGCCCCTCCCGCAGCCGTTCGCAGGATCGCAGCTGGCTGCGGGCGGATCGCGGCGCTGGGCCGGGCCGAGTGGTGATGCGGGGAAAGCTGCTCGGGGCCGCGGCTCCGCTCATTTCTAAGAAATGAAGAACTGGCTCCCGTTCAGCTTGTGCAATGCGCGGTGAGCAACGCGTCCCCCCCGGGCCGTTCAAGCAGGCGAATGGCGGCTCTGCGCCGCCCTGCGCTGCGTTTGTGACAAATCTCACCCACGGGGCCTCGCTCTGCGCCCAGCATCGCTGCCGTGCAGTTGGGGTCAAAGCACGGCGGTGGGGAGCTGCGGGTCCGCAGTGCGAGGGCAGGAGCCGTGCTTCGTTATCTTTACGTGACCGTTTGCTGCCGTGAGCAAATATGAATCATTGCAAACGCTGCAAAGGAGCGCGGCGGCGGTGGGAAGAAGGAAGCGAGGCGCGTCCTGGCACAGCGGAGCTCCGGGAAAGCTGCGGGCGGCCCCCGCGGTGACTCAGCCTCACCCACGGCCGCAGCCCCCCCCCCTCCCATTCCCCGTGCCCTGGGGACCCACGGAGCTCTGCGGCCACGGTGCCACCCCGGCATTTTGGGAGCCCAAACCCAGCCCCGGCCTCAGCTGTGCGCATGGGGCCGGCCGCAGCCCCCCCGGCTGGGGCAGAAGGGGCACTGCTGGCGGAGTGCCGTGGGACCCAGCACCCCATGTGGGTGCACCCAGGGCCTCGCTTTTGCCCACGAAACCCTGTTGCCCCTTCCTTCCTGCTCGCACGCTCTGCCTGCGATGGCCCTGAGCACTTCTCCATGGCTTCTGTTTGGGAGCACAGCAGAGTCCCACGCTCACTGCTCTGCCAGGGAGCTGCAGATAAACCCAGTGAGCGCAGCACAGCACACTTATCTCCGCCCGGCTCGCTGCTGCGTTGCCATGGCAAACTCTGCATTTCCCAAACGTAGCCCAACTCATCAGGAAGCAACGAGGGAGCAGTCGTGGGACCCCCGGACGACAGCATATTTTCCTCAGCCCCTCTCTGTGCTGCTTGTGGCAGAGGCACAGAACAGGACCCGGCAGGACGGACACATGGGAGCAGTTGTGGCTGCAGAGCAGCGCTTCTCCCAGCCCACATCACTGCTGTGATCACAGACCCGTGTCCCCCACAAAGCAGAGAAGGAAGCAGTGTGCAGGTGATGCAATGGCACCCACAGGGCTCCCTGCTCCCCGCACAGCTGCCAGCTCCACGCTGCAAGAGCGCAGGGCCGGTGACTCCCCAGCCCTCGGCTGAAAGCCTTCCTCCAGGCAGCCCTATCCTGAATTGTTATGGGATGCTTTACACGCCTGCAGCTGCCGTGGGGCCACCTGTAGGCACAGCAGAGAAAGGCCGCCGCCGAAAAGACAGGAGCTCCGTAGTAATGAAGATGTTCAGAACAAGGTGGTAAGGCACAGTCATCTCGAAAAAGAGTGTATGGCCCTACAGTGCAGGCTGGAGACGAGCAGCTCCAGGCAGGCAGCGCCCATGTGACCCCTCCACCGGCAGCGAGGCTCTGCCTCTGGACAGTGAAATGCCCTCGTGGATTTCAGAGTCGGGGAAACCCCATGGCAGCAACGATGGTGGCACAGCGGCCGCAGCGGTGTCGCTGTCTGTGAGGCAGAGTTAATGAGCAGGTGGACAGCTGACAAGTCCCATGCCACTGGGCTCTGGATCATTTCATCCCAACTACACAAATAACTCAAGTGCCTTCTCCTCACGCAGCAGATCCAAGCAACACACCAGCCGGGCATGCGGCTCCAGCACCAGAAAACTGAAAACAAATATTTACCGAGCTCCTAAGTGCTCTTTCCACACTTGTGAACAGACCCCGTGTTTGCACTTCCCTGCGCAAACAGAACAAAAGCCACAAACCTTTGTGTTCACCAGCCTGGAGTCCACAGGCAGCCTCGCAGCAACCCTCGGCAGAGGTCAAGAGGCAGAACCCTGCTTGCAGATGGCACCGGCGCGAGGAGGGTGGAGATGTGCCCAGAGTGGGGCCTGCAGCCCGCGGGGTCCCGACCCACCGCGCGGCGGCACAGAGCCGCTCCCCAGCCCCAGCCTTACCGGGGATGAGCTGGCGGCGGCGGTTCAGGAAGGTCTGGAAGGCGGTGTAGTCGTGGTAGACGATGTTGAGCCCCACGCTGCGGCTCTCCAACCAGTGCACGATCGCACGCCCGCGAGCACAAACCTCCAACGCCCGCAGGCGCAGGGCACCGCGCAGCTCCAGCCGCACGCGGCCGTGCAGCAGCTCCCCGCTGCCGTAGGCTCCCCACGCTCTCCCGTCCTCCAGCTCCACCGCCAAGCTCCGCACGCGCCCCGGTGGCTGCATTGCTGCTGGCCCACTTTGCCCTGCGGCTCCGACGTGCGGCCCTCCAGGGGAAGGAAGGAAGAGCAAAGGCTGCACCGAAATCCCCTCTCTGCCCCTGCCCTGCAGGCTCCCAGGTGGGGCTCAGACTCTGCTTTGTGGTGACGCTTCAGCGTTGGCCTTGCGTGCGAGGCGGGTGCGGTGCCAAGGGGAGCTGAGGAGGTCAGCGACGGGGCTTTTAAAGCGAAGGAGGAGTAACGTCACTTCGTCTTATCTCCGAGCCGCAGCCGCTGTTGCTGTGCCGTGGGTACGTGCTGGTGGCTCCGTCTGCAGGGAGGAGTGTTGTGCTGGTTTTACACTGCGGGGTCTGTTTGGCCTTCCCAACTCAGGCAGTCCTGAGGCATTTCTGTGAGTGGTTGGAGGGGGGCTTAGAAAGCAAAGGTCCTTTCCCCAAAAGCCAGCAGAACTTTCTGTGTCTGAAACTGCAACAGGATCTACGTGAAAAGAAAGCAAACAACTGCAGCCCACCCCCAGCAGCAGCTCACCACCGAAAGCTGGTGCTCAGCATTTAACCCCAGGGAACAGTGGCTGTTTCTGCAGTAGCACAACAGGTAGCAATGCCAACTTATGGTCATTAAAAATATGGGACAGACCTGCAGCGTGTGCAAGTCCCTGTTACTACACCCAGTGAAGCAATCTATACGTTTGAATCTTGGTGTTTGCAAAATGCCAGCAAATGACACCATGAGGAGCAGCTGTGGGAATCTGCAAGGCTTGAGTACAGCTTCATTCACGTACACGTGGGACAAAGAGCAGCCCTTTCCCAAGAGATGTAATGTCAAATCTCAAGAGGAAAGCACAGGGAGTTTGTGGGCCACTGCTCACATACAGACTGCAGCAATTGGAAATGAGTTAGCAAGCCTGTTCTAATACTGCACTGCTGGCTCACAGCACACATGAATCAAATCCATCTGCACCAAAAGGCTGAGAAGAGCTTGTGAAGTGGCAGCTGTGACAAGGCAGCAGCTGGAGCTGCTCACTCGGCCTCCCTTTAAAATGCCTACATCCCCACCAGAGTTAGTGCAAGCTCAGCATTCAGGGAATCCCCAGGAGCTTATCAACTCAACAGAAATACTCTGCTTGTTGCTGGGAAAACAGCCCCGCTCATCATAAGCCGAGAGCGCTGCTTCTCCGCCCTCCTGTTCACTGACCTTTGGTTTCGGGCCTTGACACCAAAATCCAAACAGATAACACGGGATTCCAGCCCACACGCAGCCCTGACGCTTCTGATCTCTCGCCCTTCCCTGAGCTTCCCCCGCTCCCTCCTGCCCTGCACCCGCCTGGAGGCACTGCGTGGATCCTGCAGCTCCAGAGAGGTGTCACCCGTGTGTTTGGACCAATCCCCTGGTGTTTATTGCTGTCACAACACTTCGTGTCCTCATTCAACTCTTGAAATAAATGTTCACTGTAATAACACACAGCTGGGCCAGGAGCAGGGCCAGAACTGCAGCAGCAGAACAGCTGGGTAACACAACACAGGCAGTTGATGTTGCAGGAAGTTCTGGGCAAACAGGGAAAAGGGGGAGCATCACGGTGTAAGGAGCACCTTTCCCTGGGAGCAATATTCTTTCAGGGTCCCCAGCGGGACGCAGCTCACGTGGCAGTTTGCTGCTTGGATTTCTGCTGTGTCTCTGTGCTTGGGTGTGAACTCATCCTTCTGCTTGGTACTGAAGAAATTCTGCTGCTTCCAGGGCAGCACCAGGTGTGAGCGCTTCATCTGAGGAGAGAGCAGCACGTGGGCATGGGTGGAACATGAACTTCACAGGGTGGCTACAGCTTTGCTTTGCATAATCCCTCTTCCCAAACCTGCCCACGGTGAATGCTGGCCTGTTAACGCTGTACCTGCTGTAGCACATCTTCAGAGAGCCGTTGCTTCTGCTGTCTGTGTGGGACCAGCGTAGCCTGGGTGGTGCTGATGGGATTTTCACCTGTTCACAGGTTGCAGTCAAAAGACAATTCAAGGCAGTAAATTGGGAGGGAACGTCAGAAAAGCTTTGCAGTTTGTCTTGCAGTCACAGATCTGCAGACGCTCCATTAATGAGAGGCAAAGACAGACTTTGCAGTCAGCCCTGCAGGGCAAACCTTTGCCCAGCAAACAGCTGCGGACCGACAGCTCTCACTGAGGAGGTAAATGAAGAAATTCACGTGGAAGACATGGGAATATCATTCCACATGCTGGGTATGAAGGCAGTGACAAGGGCAATTTTGACTGCTATCTGCTCCGCATCTAAAGCAAATGTCTTAAAAACACACACAGCACGAAGGGACCTCGCTCAGATGCAGGCTGTTGGCCATCAGGAACAGTGCCAGAGGAGGATTTTAATGCCTCCCACGACCAGCTCAAACTGCATCTCTTCCTGAGGTTGCAAAAGCACAGCTTTTAATTCAAATCCTCCCCCAAATACAAAGTAAATTCAGAAAACAAATATAGCAAGGGAGAAAGGTCAAGCCTCTGGTTTGTGTCCCAGAAAACATTCATGCCACCACCTGAACATGTTAACAATTCCTACACAATAGGAGCGAGTGACTGCAGTGACAAAGAAGTGAGCTGTCACCTGGGGAGGTGAAAGGGCCTGAAATGAGCAGTCGCCCCATGCAGCAGGGGGCTGAGTGTGGCTGTTCTGCCCGATTTCAAAGTACTGGCTTTGTTTTCCTAATGACACTGAAGCTGCACCCATGCCTGCCTGCCATCTTCAACCCAAGATATTTGAGCTGCTTCCTTTCCCAGAGCACCAGGCACTGCTTTTCCTTGCACAGACCCAGGAGAACCTCGCAGGCTTCCTCCAGCACCAGGACAGCCTGAGCAACCTTACTGTGGTAGCAGAAGGGGATGTGGCTGTCACGGTGGCTCTTGCTGTCTCCTGTCACCCTCTGGGGCTGCAGTGGTGGCTGGTAGTCTGAGTGCTGTGTTGTGCTGAAGAAACAGGAGCCTGAAAGGTCATCTCCTAAGCAGACATTGCTTCCATGTTTCTGCAGCAGCAAGTCAGGCTTCGGTGAGAAGTTCCACCTGCCAGCCTACAGAACACAATGGCTGGCTGTAACAGAAGTAGGCTGGAGCTGGGAAAGGTGCCCTGTGTCACATCACACCCCCACGCAGCCCAGAGGCTCGTGTTGCCAGCCAGCATGGAAAGGGGAGAATGGACAACAGAGGCCTAGGAAAGTGCTTAAAAACAGACAGCCTGTCCTCCAGATAAACACCCACACAGCAAGGATGGGAACAGACCTCTGGGTAGAAGAGCTGTGTCGTGGTAATTCTTGCCAGTGCACGATTTCTCTCTGGGTCTTCATCACCTCTGGGGATGGATGAAGTGTTTTTGTTCAGACAGGCAATAGCTACAGGCTCTGGCAAAGGCGAGAGTGAAGGATGTAGCTGTTGAACCTGCTAGGAATGAAAACCTGAACCCCACACTGTGAGGATACTGGCACTGAGTATGTAATAACAATAAAACGTTAAAAACAGAAATTCACGTACGAATGATAGTCATGTATTACACCTTTTGTCTACATTATTAAGGCCAAGTGATAAAAAACACTGTTCAGCTGGTTATAAACCTTAGCAGAGGTCTGCATGCTGTCTTTGCATCACCTTACCTGCATTATGTACTGGAAAGAGCTCTGACATCGAGGTGGAGAACCTGGTGAGACCATCCCCTGGCCGCACGTTTGTGTGATGAATCTGGAAGGCAGCACATTCCTTGTCATAGAACCTGCAAGATAACAGATCTGAGCTGCTTAAATAGCAATGCTCATCAGAAGGAGCAGCTGCTGGGATGCTCGTCAGCCTATCCTGCTGAATACCTGTGCTCCCTTTTGCCCGGGGCAGTGTAGGCATACTTCTGCTCGCTCACAGATCCACTGCTTCTGGGATCCCCAAATTTTATACGAGATTTGTGCTGAAGGGAAGCAAACAGAGCTATGAAACTGCTGCTCAAAGCACGATCCCTTTGTTTCCCACCTCTGTCTTTCCATCTGCTGTTTTTTCAGTTGCACAGGACAGAATTCAACATGGCAAGGTGCTGAAAACCGTGTCTTGGTCATCCCCAAATTCATGGTGTTACCTTCTTACTTGGCTTTGCAGGTGGACCGTGTTCACCTTTAAACTGCATTTGATGAGAAGTGTGGTAATAGGGCCGTCCATCCCCTTTAATAATGGGAGCACATCCTGCAAACGGCCAGAAGGGGAACTGGTGTTATTTAAAACAAAACAATACAACACAGCTCTATTTACACTTGTAAGGAAATATGACTGAGATTAAAGCTATACTCTCAAGACAGCGGCTCCCAAATTGATTCAGCACCGCTGAATGGCAGAGCATTTAACACCAGATTAAAACTGCAGAACGTGGATGTGGTGCATCAGAAGCAGTGCAGCTTTTGAGTGAGAACAGCAGCACCCGAGGGACTGCAAGCGGAGATGTTTGCTGCTGGGAACGCTTGGCACCCTTGGCTGAAGCCGTTTTATGAGCATCGGGTTGATTAATTCAGTCATAAAACGAGAAGGCAGAACATCCTCCCGGCTTTAATGGTTGGCAGCGTGGTTCTGAGCCCGGCCACCGCCAGTCCGTGCTGGGGATCCCGGCAGCCTCTGACGCCGGAGCTCTCACCGCTGTGGGAGTGACGCGCCCTGGCAGCGGGACGGACCTCGTGCGCTGGATACGAGGTGCTGTGCACTGAAGGAGGGAGCCCGATTTTCTCCCTGTCTCCACAAAGAACTCCGTCGCTGCTCTGCTGCGCTCTGGGCAGGGCGGGCTGCGGGGGGGGGGCTGCGGGGCAGGGGAAGCTGTCCTTCATCGCCGAGGAGCAGATGCGAACGCGGGGGTCTGCGTGCATTCGGACGCACGGCGCCGGGGCGAGGCCGGGGCTGCGCTGCCGCAGGGGCCGCTCCGGGAACGCCAGGCGCGTCTCCGAGCAGCGCGCGCCGCCCTCGGCCCCGCTCCGCCCCAACACGGCCCCGCTGCGGGGCGGCTCGGCCGGCGTCGGCCTGCGATGCCCCCAGTAAGGGGGGAACTGAAGGTGAGAAAATGGCCGACCGTCGTCCCGGGAGCCGCCGCGGGCAGCGCCCGGCTGCGGGT